GATAACCTTAATTTTGTTCAGCATTATAATTAACATGTATGTCCTCCTGTCATAGTCTGAAATGATCATAGTCTAGTTCAAATATAATATTATCCCCTGCCCTTTACACCGAATACGCCGTTTATTTGTCAGATATCTTAATGAAATTGAATGGGTATAAGCGTTAAAATAGAGTATGATTAGTAAACTGTAGAGATATTCTTATATTAGTAACATATCTTTAAATGTAGAAACTTCCAGAATTTTCTACTACTTACATATATACTTAGAAATTCTATACCGACAGAGAATAAAAGAGAAAAGAATCTGAGCTCTATATGATTAATTACAATAAAATACCATACATATACTTCTGTTATACGTACCTTCAAATAATATATTTGTAAGGTGTATGCATATCAGGGTTGATATAACCTTTAAAGGCATAACATATACATGCTATATGTACATACACTTCTAGTAGCGATAGAGTAATTTCGCGTTATTTCTTTTGTTTTATTCCAATTTCGTAACAAACAACAAGGGCTAGTATAACATTTACCGAATTGTGAAAATTTTGGTCAGAACTACTACTATCATATGCTTTTCAATTTATCAATTTTTAATTTTGATTTCAGAAAACTATTTAATTTTACACTATTTTACAATGAATTGCATAGGTGGATCATTTTTGTTGCTTGATTTTAGGCAGAAAATCTAGTTGTAAACTATTAATTTTTCAATATATTTCACTACAGTGAATGAATAACTCAACAATAGTACAGATCCCGAAAATTTGGCTATATTCGTGGCTTAAATGAAACAAACCTAGTATTTCGTGTAAGTAGGAATTTCAATAAATAGAATCTAGTATAATCTAATTACTAATACTACAATTTAGTTTTGCATAAACTTATGTAATTCAAACACAATAAATAAGCTAATGTGCGATATTAAAGACAGCACAAAGAGAATTAATTTTTGACTTTCCCATACCATTATTTGGCTTCGGCTATAGAGTCAGAAATACTGTATCTGTGTATGTACATATGTATGTATGTGTTATTAATCATAACAGTCTGAGCACACGAGAGCTACGAGATAATAGAAATTTCACCCAGCTGGTGGATTAGTGGAAATTTCGAGAAAGAGCATCCGGGAATATTCGACGAAGAGCCATTTTAGTATAAATACCAGATGTGCTCTTCGATTCAGAATTATTAAGCAACAAAGTATTAACAACTTTAGAGAGATGAAATAAATTAAACGCGAAAGTGTTTTAACACAAAGATATAAACAATTACAAAAGTTTAAAAGTATAAGTATTGAAAGTTTAATTAAGAAAAGTATAACAAAAGCAAGTCAAGGCGGTAGCAATCGGTATTGATTTGAACAACATACTCCTGTGTTGGTGCCTTCAACACGGCAAGGGAGGGTTATCGCCACGACTAAGGCAACCCGCACAACGCCCAGTTACGTTGCTTTACAGATTCAGAGCGACCATTGGCGATGCGGCGAAGAACCAGGCCAAGGTGAATCAAAGAACAGTATTCGACGCCAGCGATTGATTGACGCAAGTATGACGATCCGAAGATCATGGAGGATGTCAACATTGGCCTTCAGCGGCAGTGACGGTGGCAAACCAAAGATCAGTGTCGAGATAGCAGAGAACAAACGCTTTGCGCCAGAAGAAATTTTGCCAATGAAAGGCGATCATGATGAAGGAGAGAAGGAGGCATTTAGAACAACAGTGACAGACGCCGTCATCACAGTACCTGTATTACTTCACGATCACAGAGATTGTAGGCGACTAAGGATGTGGGTCGTATTGCTGGTTTGAATGTGTTACGAATCATTAATGAACCGGACAGTACGCTCAGCCTACGGTCTGGATGCAGACCCAGTGGTGAACGTAATGTTCTTGATTTTCGATTTAAGTGGTGGTACTTTGATAATAATCTTGACCATTGACGAGGGTTCACTACCAGCGTGCGTGCAACCGCTGGTGGCTGCATCATCTTGGTGGGGAAGATTTTGACAACCGACTGTCAACCACTGGCTGATGAGTTCAAACAGTACAAAAGACCCACAACGAATCCAAGAGCACATGTCGCCCAATGTACAGCAGCCGAACGCGGCGTACTTTTATCATCACACCGAAGCCAATCGAAATCGATGCACTATACGAAGGAGTGGACTCTACATGAAAGTGCCACGAGCTCGCTTTGAAGAACGTGTGCTTACTTATTCCGCAGCTGTGACCTGACCTGCGGAGAAGGCGTTAATGACGCGAAGATGGACAAGAATCAAATACACGATATCGTATTGGTTGGTGGTTCACACGTATTCCAAAAGTTCAGAGTCTACTACAGTCACCCTTCGTGGCAAAACGAATCTTTCAATCAATCCGATGAGGCAGGCATATGGTGCAGCCGTCCAAGCGCGGTTATTCCAAGTGGTGACAAGAGCAGTGAAATTCAGGATGCTATTGGTCGACGTAGCACGGTTGTCCTTAGGTATCGAAACAGCTGGTGGTGTTATGGCGAAATTGTTGAACGAAATTGCCGAATCTACGCAAACAAACTCAAACATTCTCAACATACCCGACAACCAAAGCGGTGGCACAAGAATCCAGGTTACGAGGGTGAACGTGACACTGGGCGACAATCGACTGGGCATATCGACTTATCGGGTATACCGCCAGTTCCACGCGGAGTTGCCGACGAGGTTACTCTTTATCTGGACGCCAACGGCATTTGAATGTATCGGCGAAGGAATTGAGTTCAAGAAATGCCATATCACTACTGCGAACGACAAAGGACGTCTATCACAAGAAGATATCGATCAAGGGTGAACGAGGCGGAAATGCTGGCGCCGAAGAAGAGAACGACAACGCAATAAGATCGCGGCTAGAAATAACTGAGAGCAGGGCTTGTGTGAAACAGCCCTGATGGCGCAGGTGATAAAATTGAGTGCTCAGAGAAGGGCGAAGCATTGAAGGTTTGTGATGACACAATCGTAACGGTTCGATGCCAACACTTACCGGACAAGAAGAATAGAAGACAAAATGAACACGTCACTAAACTGTGTTCACCAATCACACAAAACTACATATGGTGGTGCAGCCGCGAGCGTCTGTGGTCAATGTTGGCGGGATTCGTAGTGGACGCACTGGACCCAATTGTTGCATATTAGAAAATTTAGACGTATTCAAAGCAGTATGAATGAAAAGGAAATTATTGAAATTTCGCTTAAAAATGCTAATAACAGTGTGTTGGTTTGGCAATTTATAGACTTATACATATGTACAAGTATATAGATACATTTGTGGTTAGAAATATGTAAATTTCAAATACGTTAATCGAAAATTCAGGAATCAGTGGAAATTGCCTTGGAAGTTGTACAAAAGCGTGACAATTGAAGTAACATCGTTTTGGGCATATAGCATATGTGAAAAACTGGAAACGTGAGATACAATATGATACATGACATAGTAACATGATAAACTATAAAGAAGAATAACATAACGTAGCATAACATAGCATGTCATAGCATAACATGACATAGCAAAACATGATATAAAACATAATATTATATAACGCAGCATAACATAACATAGTTCAGCATAACATAGCATGACATAACATAACATAGTATAGTATAGCTTAACATATACATAATTTGAAAGGTCTTGACATAACCTACAAAACAACGCTATGCATGATTAGATTGGATATTGCGTTCAACAGTTATAGACGTGTAAACATGGAGTTCACTAATGCCGAAATTCGCGCTATTTTAAAGTTTTCCTTCGTTAAAGGCAAATCCGCTAAAGAAACGTTCCGTGAGATTAATGGTGTTTTGGGGGATGGTACTATCACTTGAACCGCGGAGGAATGGTTTCGACGATTCAGAGCCGGTGAAAACGACACCATGGATAAGCTTGCCGGCGAAGACCCAGGATGACAAATACTGATCAAATCATGGAATACATCGAGTTAGACCCGGCATATGGCATCTCGTACATCGCCCAGGAGATGGAGTTAGTCACCAAACCATTTTGAACCATCTGCAGAAGGTTGCAAAAGCTATGTTTGGGTGTCGTACAATTCTGACGCAAAACCTTCTGACCGAATCAATGCCTGCGGATATGCTGCTGAAACGGGAACGAACGTCCCATTCTTGAAGCGGATGGTGATTCATGACAGGTCGGATCATATACGACAATATCAAGCGAAACGGTCGTATCGAAGGCCGGTGGAATCGTCCCAAACAGTGGGGCAAGCCGGGATTGACGGCCAGGAAGGTTTGCTGTGTAATGGTGGGATTGAAGAATCATCCACTATGGAGCTGCTCCCATATGGCCAGATACCGCTTAATCTACCATCTACTGCGAACAACTGACCGCTTGAAGCAGGCGATCGACCAGAAGCGTCCAGAATTGCCAACAGGAAGGGTGTAGACCACCAGGACAACGCCAGGACCAGCCACACACTTCGTTGATAACCTGCTGTAGTTGCTGAGCCGGATGGAGTATTTTATCATCCACCATATAGCCCGGACGGCGCCAAGTGATTACCGCCTGTTCCTGTCCATGGCGAATGCCCCTGGTGGGTGGAAGTTGAACCTGCAAGAGACTTGTGAAAAGTGGTTGTCCGAATTCTTCGCAAATAAGGGGAGAGGGGCTTCACGAGAAGCTGCATATGAAGTTGCCGTCTAGATGGAAACAGATCATCGAACAAAACGGCGCATATTTTAACTAAATCCGATCACTGTAACACTTTTTATAAAGCATTGAATGAAGAGCAAAAAAGCGGAAGGGATATTTGACAACCATATATTTGCCATACCTAACATATAATTAACGAACTTAGTGGCTACTTTAGAAAATATAAATATTAACTTAATTCTTTGTAATTTATTTTTTTTCTTTTGACCTACTATAATGTTTCAACTAACGACATTTTGTATAATTTCAAATAAAATAAATGAATGTTCCCAAAAATTGCTTGTATACGATTTCAATGCCACAAAATTTATTTTACTTTTTTCATTAGATATTTTTCCCTCAAAATCTTTACGTGCAAGCGGTTGTTTTTCCAGCTCTTTAATTTTTATATTTCTTCGCTTATTAGCAAATAATTAAACGTGATTTTTTTAACCATAACGTGCAGTTACAAAACAATTGACTAAATTACGATTTTGTTATTGAAAATAAATAAATAAAAATTGTATTGGCGTGCTGCATGGCCACAGCAACAGAAAATTTGTGGGTAGCACAACAAAGACTGTTGATAACAACATGGATAAAGAAACAATTTCCTTGGTTTGAAGCTATGCAGGATCATTTGCTCAATATATGTAAGTAACACAGGAAACCGAACGTTGAAAAGTAAGTTAGTATAGCTGCATTTTGGGCTGTTGATTTCAAAAATAATAATTTTTATACCCTGCACAGGCTTTATTACATTTACCACGATGTTTGCAACACCCAGAAGAAAACGTTGAAGACCTATCGATTATATGAGTTTATTTGAATGATCAGCGAGAAGAACTGTGTTGATTTAGCCATATCCGTCCGTCCGTCCGTCTGTCTGTATATACGCGAACTAGACTTTAAGATATCGAACTGAAATTTTGCACACGTCCTTTTCTCACCAAGAAATTGCATAATTGTCGGAATCGCCGATTTTGGATCACCATAGCATATAGCTGACATGCCAACTGAACGATCAAAATCAAGTTTTTGTATAGAAAACTTTTTTGCTTTGCAAGATATCTTCAGCATAAATTATTGGCCGCAGAGAGCGCACAATCTCCGAAAGTATCGTACGGTTCAGAGCACTATAGCATATAGCTTGTTTGACAGCTGACCGATCAAAATCAAGTTAAAGATCGTTTTATACCCTTTTTGCAATAATAAATGTACCTGTGAAGGGTATTATAGTTTCGGTGCAGCTGAAGTAAACGTTTTTTATACTCTCGCAACTTGTTGCTACAGAGTATAAGTTTTGTTCACCTAACGGTTGTTTGTATCACCTAAAACTAATCGATTTAGATATAGGATTATGTATATATAAATGATCAGGATGAAGAGACGAGTTGAAATCCGGGTGACTATCTGTCCGTCCATCCGTCTGTGTAAGCTGTAACTTGAGAAAAAATTTAGATATCTTTAAGAAACTAGGTACACATGTTTCTTCTGTAATCGGACCACTGCCACGCCCACAAAACGCCATTAATCAAAAACAAATAAATTGCCATAACTAAGCTCCACAATAAGATACAAGACTGTTATTTGATATACAGGATCACATTAGGGAGGGGCATTTGCAGTTTAAAGTTTTTAAAAAAGTGGGCGTGGTCCCGCCCCCCAATAGGTTTAATGTGCAACTTTCCTAAAACGCTAAAACCATAATAAAAAAATTAATTGAGAGCAAATGTTTTTGCACTTCTATCGACAGTGTGACTATGGGTGAAATCGGGAGACAATCCCGCCCACTCCCCATATAACTGTTAAAAACTCTTAAAAGCGCGATAAATCAAGCACTAAACACCCAAGATACATTAAATTTTATCTCTGGGATGGTATGATGACTTTATAGGAACCGCGTTTAAAATTAGACAGTCGGCGTGGCACCGCCCATATTTAGGTGAAAGTCCATATCTTGGGATCTGCTTAGCCAATTTCAACCAAATTCGGTACATAATATTCTTCTCATATTTCTATATTATAGTATGAAAATGGGCGAAATCGGATTACAACCACGCCTATTTCCCATATAACATCATTTTAAATTCCATACGATTTTTTTACTTTCCAGTATGCAAATCAAGCAACAATGGTTACATCAGCGTAAAACATTGCGTGAATAATACGTTTAAAGTATGCCACCTTGTAACCAAAAGTTATCTTAACTAAACCAAAACTGTTCAAGCCCCTAGGTACTGAATATGTGGACCCCAGTGCCTATAGTTGACCTTCTACCGAAAATATCGGTCAATCCACAAAAAAATCTCAAACGAGTATACCATTTGACTTTGCGAGAGTATAAAATATTCGGTTACATCCGAACTTAGCACATCCCTACTTGTTTTTGTTTTTTTTTTTTGTTTCCAAAATTCATCAGCAACTGTTATAACTTATCAGTTGAAAGATGTGATTATGATGCACAAAAATTTGTCTTTATATTAATATAATAATAATAATCCTTCACTTACCATTGATTTCTTCATTTTATTGCAGCAAATGTTGTGCCGCAACGTTTCATCTTGTGTTTTTTCGGTTTCCTCGCCATTGTCAATGCCTATACAATGCGTCACTGTTTGGATATCGCTCTGGCGCATATCGTTGCACCCAAACGTAAGCATGTGCGCATGCCAAATCTCGATACCGTTAAGTTGAGTTCATTCAATTTATATGAACGCATGGAACAACATCGGAATGGCACATTATTGAGTTTCAGCAATAGGCATCATGGCAAAGATGATACCTATGATTGGTCTGATCAGCTGCAAACATTTATTTTAATCTCTTTTTATGTGGGCTATGTTTTGTCACATATGCCAAGTGCTCAACTTGCGATGCGTTATGGTGGCAAGTGGGTGCTCGCTATTGGTTTGGCCATAAGCGCATTGCTTACGATGCTCACACCAGCTGTGGTGAAATGGGGTGGTCCGCTGGCACTTATAGTAATACGTTTGCTAATTGGCTTGAGTGAAGGACCAACGTATCCAGCATTAAGCGAACTGCTCTCCAAATGGGTACCGGGTAAAGAACGTGCTACGCTAGGCTCATTGGTGCTTAGTGGCAGTCAAATTGGTATTTCAATGGGTAATTTTATAGCCGGCTTGCTGTTACATCGCTACGATTGGTCGTTGATTTTCTATTACTTTGGTATATGCACTTTACTTTGGTTCATTGGTTTCGTAAGTACATTAAAGGCATGTCTTTAAAAGCAATATAAATCGATCTTGTTCTCCAATTTAGATATACATGTGTTACAATACGCCAGAGGAGAATCCATTTATGAAAGTGACGGAAAAGCAATATCTGCAAAAAGAAATCGGTTTAGTAGAGCGTTGTCAGCATAAAACTACGAAAACTCCATGGAAGGACATTTTTCGTAATTTACCTATGTGGGCACTCATTTCAGCCACTATACAATATGATTGGACACAGCTGCAACATGCGGCTGAAGTTCCACAATTTATAAGAGACGCCAAGCAAGAACCGTTAATTGAAAATATTATCAATGGTTTGCAGAATCAAATGCCATATATTATGAATTGGTTGCTGTCAGTGCTGTCCGGTGTGATCTCGGATTTACTAGTCAACTATGAGATATTCTCCGTGACAGTTATGCGAAAACTTATGGCATTCGTAGGTAAAATACAAATGTATTTATTATTTAGTATTAACGAATCATAGGCCAGAAATCAGAAAATGTAATAATAACTATAAAAATAAATTTCGCTTTCACCGTAGCTGCAGTGGCACCAAATCTGTACGATAGTCTGCTGCCTTGTTTAACTTGCAATGAAACGAGCAATTTATTTGCCTTCTGCCATTGCGCCATAAATGTGCTGGGTAGTTACTATGCGGGCATAAAATTGACACCGTTAGATATGAGTCCGAATTTTGCAGCCACACTTATGGGTATTGCGAATGGGATAGGCTCGCTTACTGGCATTGTTGCACCCTTTATCAAGCACTCGTTCGTTGGTTGGGTGGGTATACATTTATTTTTGTTTTTATGATTATATTAATTAATTTTTTGTTTATTAGAATTTTATAAAATTTGCAAAAATTTTTAAATTTATTAAAATTTTATAAATAAATTATTGTTTGTTTTCAGTCACAATTCAAACTTGTACGCGCATTTTTTTGGCTAATATCAACGCTGCTGATATCGGGTGAAATACAACCATTTGATCAACTAATTCCTTTGACGTCAGATTCGAATAAAATTGAATAAAATTTGCGATTTTTTGTTGTACTAAGCAATTAAAAACTAAAAAGTGTGCCTTTAAAGATAAGATCTGAATTTTTTTAGGTTATATTATGTTTGTCACGACGTTTGTACTACACAGCAGGAAACGTCGAAGAACCTTTAAAATATATATTATATATAACTGATCAGCGTAACCAGCTGAGTCGATTTAGATACAAAGTCCGACTGTCTTTCTGACTATACACGGACTAGTACTTCAGTTTTTGCGACATTGTTCTGAAATTTTGCACACATCGTTTTCTCCCCAAGAAGCTGATCCTTTGTCGGAACCGCCGATATCGGACCACTATAACCTATAGCTGCCATACAAACTGATGGCCAAAGTGACCGATCAAATAAAGTTCATGTATGAAAATTTTTTGTTTGTAAAGAGTATTTGTGCTTTGTGGCAACATACACTGTTCTATTGAACTGCTAGCGCTTGGCAAGGCTCACATTACCGTAATGATAGGCATCCTAACTGTACACTGTCCCATTGGCACTCACGCAATGAGGCTACAGATTTTGGAGAACGTAATTTTTCAAAGTTGCAAAGGAAGATGAGGTGGAAACATCCAGACACTTTCTTCTCCACTGTCCAGTTTTCGCCAGGCCAAGGTTGTAGCATTTCGTTTGCCATACTTTTTACGAACCTGGCGAATTGGCTGGCATTGATAAGCCGCTGCAATAAATTTGTGCCAGGCTCTAGGCGTTTTGTCGATATGTGACGGTCTTTTTAAACCATACCTAGGAGCTCTGGGCACCACAACGGACAAGCCTATTTAATTAACCTAACCTAATATACACACAAGTAGTTAGATAAGTATTCGTTTCACTGTTGTTGTTGGAATAAAATTAATTATATTATAAATCCTACAAAATTGCAGGAGTTCTCTAAATGAACGTATATCTGGGAATGTCACAATAAACATATATTAAATTTTTTTACTATTAATTACTTATATTTGATTAAATTTAATAATAAACTCAACTAATCAGAAAAGCTAGTCCGAACGATAGTTTATCTGGGTTTGTTTTTGTTTTTAAACCAGTTGTAGTGTATTTTAAAAAGAGTAAAAGCACACTTGAGTAAAAATGTATTCAAGTAAATTATTAAAATAACGTTTTACGAGTATATGTTGAATTTTGAATTGTGTAATGTTTAAACATTTTTTTGTGAATTTGAAAATGTTGTCAAACGCAAACGCAAAAACCGACCATTCAATTGTCTAATTACTCGAAACAAGCAATAATGCTAATAGTAAAATAATTAATAAATAAAATGGAAACTATAGAAGATAAACGACCAGAATGGGGTAAAAAATTATCTCTACGTAAGTTTTAAGAAGAAAATATATTGCATACATAAAATATATAAGTACATATATATGTTTTTGTAAACCTTTCCAATTTAGTGGTGCCGATACCGCAACGGGTAATCATGTCTATAATGGGATTTCTTTCCATAATTAACAATTATACGCTACGTAGTTGCATTTCCGTTACAATTACACGCTTAGTTTTAGAGCGCAAATATTCGAATGAAACAACAGCTAGTGGCGAAGTTTGTCCTAAACCAGATATATCCATTGAGGAAGAAAAAGTAAATATACATATGTACACATGTGTACTATTAATCACTGAGGAAATTGTAAAAGCAAACACTTCTTTCATTTTCTACGTAGATACCGGGTGGCGAATATGATTGGTCACAAGAACTGCAAGGCTACATACTTGGCTCTTTTTACATAGGCTATATTGTAGGACATGTACCTGCTGGCTTGCTATCTGAAAAATATGGCGCTAAATGGGTGTTAGTTTGTGGCATGTCTACAGCAACGATATTAACATTATTAACACCCTTATGCATTACATTACTCGGACCATATGCTTTAATTGTACTACGTACTATAATGGGATTCGGTGCTGGCTTTTCATATCCTTCGTGTAGCGCACTATTGGCTCATTGGGTACCCGTACATGAACGTAGTTTACTGGGCGCTTTTATAATGGGCGGTGGCCAAATGGGGACCGTACTGAGTAACAGTATGTCCGGTGCTTTACTTCGTTACGCTACATGGCCTTGGGTATTTTATACATTTGGTATAATGGCGACCTTATGGATTTTGTTTTTTGTAAGCTATATATGTACTGCCATTAATACAATAACTTAAACTTTACATACATGCATATACTTGTATTACTAAATAATAACAATTGCAGATAATTATGTGCTTTAGTGATCCTAATTCGCATCCCTATATCAGTGACAAGGAAAAGGAGTATCTGCTGAAACATATGGGTCGTCTTGGACGTGATCATAATTTACCCCCGTTCCCTTGGGTTCCCGTATTTAAGAGTAAAGAAATGTGGGTGCTTATTTTGGCACAAGTTGCACACGATTGGGGTTTTTATGTAATGTCTTCATGTTTTCCGAAATTCTTGAATGATGTATTGCAATTGCAAATTCTTAAAACTGGCTTATATTCTTCAATCCCATTTTTATTATTTTGGCTATCTTCGCTACTCTTGGGAGCCATAGCAGACTATATAATTAAACGGGATTTGACGCGAGCAACATGTGTACGCAAATGGATGACGTTCATTGGTAAGTCGATTTTAAAAATATGTTGTTATTCGTATGCCTTTCAAGTTTACCAATTTGTAATAATTTCCTGGGCAACAATTAGCACATTAAATGCAGTAAGAGGTATGAAATACTTTTACTCATACTCATATGTATTTCTCTCTATATTTTTAGTGAAGTCATATATTTAATCACTTACCTTAATTAAATGTTTACATATGTATATTATCCTAAAAAAATTTCGCACACTAGCTGCCACACCTTCCGGGCTCTTTATGGTTACAGCCGTATATATTGGTTGTGATACAGTGTGGATAATTTTAAGTTTCACCATCTCAATGGCACTCATGGGCGGTTTTTATGCAGGAATAAAACTAACTGCGAACGATATGACACCGAACTATTCGGCTACTGTTATGGCTATTGTAAACGGTATAGGTGGCATTGCTGGTGTACTCGCTCCGTATTCTGTAGGTTGGCTTACTGTAAAGGTATTAAAAATTATAAAAATGTTAGTTATATTTAAATATTACTAATTTAATCCATGTATACATATATAGACTATCTTACATGAATGGCAGCAAGTATTTTGGTTAGCGCTTGCTATTCTAACGCTACCCACAATCCCTTTTTGCATTTGGGGTACAGCTGAAGTACAAGAATGGAATGAACCTTCCAAGAAAGAATGATTTTTCTTATTTATTACAAAACGGCTACCGCAATTTCATTTACTAATGCCTATGTGTTCATCTGCACTTGAGGAGTACAATTCGATTGGAATAAGATTGTAATATATTTGCTTTCGACGGAAGACAATGTACGAGTACTTTATATTTAATAATTAGCAAATAGTTTCCACTAGAGATAATGAATCATTATCACAACGTCCGCCACATCTATCACTCGTAATTTAATCACCTTTAATTGCTCATATTTACACATTCCTTTGGGGAACCATTTTTAATAAATTATAAATAATTATAGCAAACTATTTACTTATTTTTAAATAATTTTGATTTCCGCCCGCGCTAGAATGGCATTTTTTTGCCAAATTGGATTTACAGTTATTTTACAAACAGTGTTGCCAGTTATTTAAGTGAATGGTTTTGTAAAAGCGAACGCGAATAAGTGTCATGTAATTTTTATTCTATTACATAAATCAGCAAAAACAAATTAATAATAAGCAGTGGTATAGTACATTAAACAAATAACTTACATATCGTCAAACCATAAAATGGTATTAACGGAGATTTTTGTAATCATACTGCATAGGGGATTCTGTAAATATGCATAAGCTTTCAGTATTCGTCTTTAGAACACCTTAAGTAACCGGATACAAATTTCAATATGCAAATTTATGCAGAGAACGTACATCATACATATGATATACGTTCTCTGATTTATGTAACAACGGAAACATATATGTTTAAAAAAAGGATATGTCGATTTGCCGAAAATATCAAGGAACTTTGAGATTATGCGTAGTTTGTGTGATTTTAGCATTTCGTATTAGACTTAGAAGCAAAGTGTTTTTATTTAACTTGGTATAAATAAGTACTTCTTTAACCATAGCATCAACTTACCTGCACAAGGAAAATTTCCATTAATTTATGCAAAATTGTTTGTAATTAAATCAAATTTAAGAGAAGACTTTCTTTTTAGAAACTGAAGTAATGTGCTAATGCATTAGCACGAAATTTATTTGTATCAATAACAATGATCTAAGCGTACATAGGTAATGGGGTAATTTATTTCTGAATGTACACAAGATGTCCTGAATGGACAAAACAAAAAATTTTATTATAATAAAAATTAAAATAATAATGTCTTTCGATCAATTAACAAGGCCAATGCCACACAACAAAATAGCTATAATTTTATAAAATAGCTGTATCGAGCAGTTTGTGATTGCTACATACATATTTCTTATAGTATAACGCATATGCGTTTATGTCGCATATTAGAACAGTGTCAATCCTTTGCGAATATTTAAAGTTAAAATATAAAAAACAATATAAAGCATTAACACTTTATGAAAATGTATATACTCAACTTTAAATATGGCAATGATTATACTTTTTGTTCCACTGTTTCGCTTTCAGGAGGAGAAATGCACGGAGACATGCTTGCTGCAGTTTGTTTTCATCTTAACCCATTAAAAACTATTTTATGTTTAGTTAGCTATATTGCAAGAAAGTTGCCTTAAACATCTACTTTGTAAGTACTACTTCTAAGTATCTTAGTAAGTAGTTACTTTGTAAGTATCTTAGGTATCCATTTTTACACTATGTTATTTAAACACCTGCCGGCATCATTCCTTGCTGCGCTAACGCTGATATTTTTGACATATCAATACCCAGTTTGCGTGTAACATTTAATTGAGCAACCGCCGCATTACGCAAAGCATACAAATGACCCATTTCTGATTTGCTCTTTGATAGTTTAATTGCTTTTTCGAAAAGTTCCACAGCACGATTTAGATTTGCACGTTGCACTTCAATAGTGCCGAGAGTCTCATAAGCCAACAAACATTTATTGTCCACATCTAATGCTTGATTAATTAATGCAATCGCTTTGTCGATGTCACCCTTCCATTGCAGTAGCATTACGCCACGATGTACATAGAGCGATGCATTTTCTGGTGCTACCTTTAAGGCTTTCTCATAAAATTGATCAGCTTGTTGGAATTGTTGTTGATCAGCCAAAACTTGTGCCATCAGACTATAACATTCAATACAGTCGGGGAATTTCTCAATGGCATTCTTGAATTCGTTCATTACGATCATAAGACGCATTTGATCCTGTGACAACAATGCCATACGATATTCGGCGTAACATTTCTGTATGTAGGCCATTGCGTGATTTGGTGATAGCTTCACTACCTTTTCAAACTCACTTAATGCTTCTGGTAACTGATCGAGCAGTATATAAATTTGTGCACGTTGATGATAAATATCCGGATTATCAGGTTGCAATTTGGCGGCAGCATCGAAATCAGCTAAGCCCAAATCCTTCTCTTCCTTCTGTATGTATAACGAGGCACGTTTAATAAGAGCAGTTGCACGTAACGCAACACCAGCATCGGCTATGGTAAAAAAACAAAAAATATATATATATATATATATGAAATATTCAACCATAAATTAAAGAAATGTTTGTTTTTAAGTACCGTTATTTATCACAGCATCAAAATCTTGCTGGGCTGCATTGAAGCCACCCGAGAGCAGATAAAATGTGCCCCGTAATAGTAAGGCTTCACTTTTATATTGTGATTCAGATTCGGATGTTTCGATTTCTTCTGTACAAGCTGAAATCACATCTTCATATTTCACTTCGTCTAAAGCTTTTTTGGCGCGCGCAAATCCTTTCAACTCCATTCCTTCCTTTGCGTCGGGAATTGTTATGCTTACAAGTGGATCCGCCACAAATGAACGCAAATAAGTTTGAATAAAGTTCTTTGATGGCAACACCGGTATATGTTCTTTTAGACCGCGCTCAGTATCCTCACGACCAGTTTGTTTTAGTATACGATCTGCATACATTATTGTACTGTTATTTTGGAACATTTCCAATATACAGGTCGCTGTCACATCATCTAAACATTCCATCAAATCATTTGTGGCTTCGTGTGCTTTAGCGCGTCTATAATATGCCTTTGCATATTGAGGATTAAATTCAAGTGAACGCGAGCAATCCTCTTTAACATGATTCCATTTTTTTAACATTTCATACGAGGCAGCACGGTTTTGATAAAATATTGCAAGGTCAGTACGATTTTCAATTGGACATTTATCTATGGCTTTATCGTAGAATGAGATTGCTTCGTCGTACTTGCCATTACGATAGCAAACGTTGCCTTCATTTTTGTACATGGTGGCTTCCTTTAGAGGTGACAACTTTTCACTTTCCAGCTCGGCATTCTTTTTCTTTCGTTCTAATTCCTTATCTTCGCTAGTGCCATCAATAGATAGGGTTTGTTGCTTGTCCTTGACGGATAGTCCCTTCTTACGATCAGCCGCATCGTTATCGCCAATTGGTTTCTTTTCTTCTACAGATTTCCGGTAAATGTAGACACCCAATCCAATTGCGACGGGTGTGCCGATCAGCAAAGCCAATTGCCATCGCGTTAAACTTATAGAACCGTAACGATATGCCATCATATTTTATTTTATTATTTTGTACCGGTTTACGTCTTGAATAACCAATAATGTTTTATCTAAAACATACAAAATATATTTGAATTTTATAATATAATAATAATGAATTCACTTGCAAAATAACAGTTCGTAACGCACTTAGCGCATTCGCACCTTGACGTTACATCAGTATGGTGTGTGTAGATAAGAAACTGGTAATCATGTTAGTGCTAATTTTTTTATTTCAACATCGCGCCCAAGATCATAAAAACAAAAGATGGTAATCGATTTTTCTTTTGGCAACAAAAGCAAGACGGAACCGGTGTACTGGACGGAAAGAATGCATGCTTGCATACATATTTACCTCTGTTTTCTTACTCAACAATTCCGATACCAGTTACTTCGAAATTCAGTAGATTGAGGCAAATGCAATGCGCGTATTAGTTTCTGGTTGTCATGTGCTTGATCCTTGTATTTCAATGAAAATTTTATACATGAATTAATTTGTTTTTCCCACGAAAGAACGAATATTCTGATTATATCGGTGAGAAGACAGCAAGAAAAGAAATAAAGTACTATTTGACATGTGTGTACAGAGTTGCACAATGACCTAAAGTAAAAGAAATCTATTACGTTTAGAGAGCACCTGACTGTAATCGGTTTTTAGGTTTCAAGCTGATTTAAATTGTGTAATAGTTTTGTATATATATATATATATATATATATATACATATCCAAACATAATTTCTTTTAATGCCTACATTAATATATATATATACATATCCAAACATAATTTCTTTTAATGTCTACATTAATAAATTTATGAAATTGTTTAAAATATGTATTCGATAATATTTATATTTTAAATATATAGAATAAAAATAAAACTCCGGTTACATTTTCTTTACTGACAGTTACGCTGTCAAAAATACAATCAACCGTGAAAAAGTGAAAAAGTCCAATCAGGTTCTTTTCTGTGTTGAATTTTTGTTCGGTGTTCGCTAGTGATTTTAATCCGTGAAAATCGTAAATAGAAATTTATTAATCAATTAAAAAGTGATCAAAATCATATAGTCAAAAGAACAATGGCTCCGAAAGCAAACTTCGTTCCGGTTAAACCAAAAGGTCAAGCCTTTAAAGATAAATCGAAACCGGCTGATGTGCGTCTATCAAATATTCAGGCAGCAAAAGGTTAGAAAATTGAAAAATCTTAGTTGATTTCGTAAAGATTAATTTATTTTACAATCAACAGCAGAAATGATATGAAAATTTTTAAGAAAATGTGTATAGAACTTATGTATTTATATTAAAATTATACCAGTTGTTTGATGAGCAACAAAAAATGCAATGGCGGCGTCATAGCACCGTAGCACAGATGTCTAGAAAATTCCTTTTTTTTTTTAGTTTTCTAAAATAGGGTGTGTGTCGAAAGTGATTCATACCAAACGCATTTGAAAAGAAGGAAAATCAAGAAAATATGCCTATAAATAAAATATATATGAAATGTTTCATATTCAGTTTCTAGTGACGTCATTCTTCAATATCATTACTCATTGTAATACCGACAAATATTTGTTTTCTTTTTAGCCGTTTCGGATGCTATTCGCACCAGCTTAGGTCCGCGCGGTATGGACAAAATGATTCAAGCCGGCAATGGAGAAGTATCGATCACAAATGACGGTGCTACCATTCTAAAACAGATGAATGTACTCCATCCGGCTGCAAAAATGTTAGTAGAACTATCACGTGCTCAAGATGTTGAGGCCGGTGACGGTACAACTTCTGTGGTTGTCATAGCTGGTGCTTTATTGGAAGCTTGTGAAAAGTTATTGCATAAGGGTATTCATCCTACTGCAATTTCCGATTCGTTCCAACGTTGTGCAAACAAAGCTATCGAAATTCTTACTGATATGTCTACACCAATCGAGTTAACCGATAGAGATACACTCATTAAGAGTGCATCAACTTCATTGAATTCCAAAGTAGTTTCTCAACAGAGCAATCTATTGGCCCCCCTCGCTGTGGATGCTGTACTAAAGGTAACAGAACCAGGAAAAGAGGGAGCTGTTGATTTGAAAAATATTAAAGTTATCCGCAGTCTTGGAGGCACCGTCGAGGATACCGAATTAATTGAGGGTTTGGTGTTTACTTCGCGTTCGGCTGGTACAAATGCACCAAAGCGCATTGAAAAAGCAAAAATTGGCTTGATACAATTCTGCATTTCGGCACCAAAAACTGACGTAAGCCTTAATTAAATTACAAATAATATGCTCTCATAATAATGAATAAATAAATATATATATATATTTCCAGATGGATCACAATGTTATCGTGTCAGATTATGCTGCCATGGATCGTGTATTGAAAGAGGAGCGTGCATACATTTTAAACATTGTAAAGCAAATCAAAAAAGCCGGTTGCAACGTACTTTTGGTACAGAAATCAATCTTAAGGTATGTAATATGAAGACAATTTATATGAACGGTAATCCTAGCTTTGAATCTATGTGCCTATTTACAGAGATGCGGTTTCTGATTTGGCGCAACATTTCTTGGACAAAATCAAGTGCCTTGTAGTCAAGGATGTTGAGCGTGAAGACATTGAATTTGTCTGCAAGACACTAAATTGCCGTCCTATTGCATCGTTGGACCATTTTGTTGCTGAAAATCTGATAAACGCTGATTTAGTCGAGGAAGTGCCAAGTGGTACTACGAAATTCGTAAAAATTACCGGCATACAAAATCCGGGACGCACGGTATCAATTGTGTGTCGTGGTTCCAACAAATTAGTGCTTGAGGAAGCAACACGTTCATTGCATGATGCACTTTGCGTCGTGCGTTGTTTGGTCAAGAAGCGTGCACAAATTGTTGGCGGTGGTGCACCAGAAATAGAAATGGCTTTACAATTGGCTGCCTATGCACAAACTGTTGAAGGTGTTGACGCTTACTGCTTCCGTGCATTTGCTGATGCACTAGAGGTTATACCATCAACTTTAGCTGAGAATGCTGGTCTTAATCCGATTGCAACTGTAACTGAGTTGAGAAATCGCCATGCGCAAGGTGAAAAGACTGCTGGTATTAATGTGCGCAAGGGTGCTATCACCGATATTCTGGCTGAGAATGTGTTACAACCACTGTTGGTCAGTATTTCGGCAATTTCTTTGTCTACAGAAACAGTGCGCTCCATTCTAAAGATTGATGATATTGTAAGTAATGGTATTCATTCTGATATTTACTTTGTGTTAATTTCTAATTTTTTCATTTTATTAGGTTAACACCATGAGTTAAATATATCTCAAAAAATATGGGAAGAAACTTATGAATTACTAAGCCAATACATTGTGAAGTCTATTTCTAAACATTTTTTTGTTCGCATAATCATTAATTTTACTTGAACTTAATAAGTATGTATGTTTGTTGGTTGAAGAACCGCAAACTGTTCATTCAATTTCGATACTACATAACCAAATATACTTGCTGCTTTGATTAAACTACATACTAAATTTTGTGAGTTATTATTGGGTTACTTCAAAGAAATATTTTCCAGGATAGAGGTGGACACACAAACCAAAATGAAGGTATTTGTACCCCTGAACCAAGAATAATGATATTTTCAATCATTCTTGCTTTGAACTATAACTCACAATCATTGTTAAATCTACAATTTATACAATGCTCACAGTGAACATCGAAGACATTCATGATTTATAAAAATGCTTCCCAAAAGCGAAAGTTACCCTTATAATATAACAGCTGATTGCATAATGAGTCGAAAATAAATAAAATCAGTTATGTTACTCTACTAATCCTACAATTTCGGCTTGATGTAATCAAATTTAATCGAGAATCGAATGGTAGGCACAAATATGTATTAAAAAATATATAAAATTTGTTATTAAGATATTTACACTAATTTTCTTTTGTAATATTCCATCTGCATCACAAGCAATAATAATAATTTTTTGAATTTTCTTTAAATTGTATAAAAATAATTCTTGTGTTAAATTAAATAAATTGGTGACGATATAATACAAATTCAGTTACTTTGTCATTAATGGGATTTTTTATTCCCGTTTTTATGTAGTACTAAATACAACATTGAGTTAATCAAAACCTAAGTGTCAAACTTATTTACATACATCAAAATCATGGATAAAATCAACATCGTTCTATCATTTTCATAATTCGTTCACCAACAAAACACAATTTTTATTACATTGTGATCTATAACATGTTTTACTTTTTATAAACACAATAACTAAAATTAATTAAGTGATCATGTCAAATACTTTTGAAGATTGCAGCGGCTACTTTCCTGATGCCGAATGGCAGTTTTGGTGCAGACTCTGTGCTAAGGAAGATGTACGAAATATCAATATATACCCAGAACAGAACCAAACTGAATTGCCCACAAACTCCACTCTTATAGATTTTATAGCGAAGTTTTTTAAAGTTCATGTAACTATTTTCATTATAATTTTTTATTCAAACATCTGATGTGTTTTTATATTTTATTTAGATACGACAGAACGAAGATTTACCACATTGGCTTTGTGCACAATGCTTTTCATCGGTTTCGGCCTTGTCCAAATTCACAAATCAGGTGAACAGAGTACAAAATATGTACGATGAAATAAAAAGTATTGGTTACAGAACAGCGCTAGATTGCCGAGTTATCCGGGAGAAATATAACTTACTTGAGTGTGAGTTATTTATGTTTAACATATCGGATACGAAACCATCTATTGAAAATATTTTTGTTGCTGATGCACCAGAAATAATTGAACATAAATCATTGGATAGTATTGTAAAGAGTGAAGTAATAACTGACGAGTTACAGAGTGGCATATTTCTTAAAGACATCGAATTTAATAGTGAATTCCAAGATCCCATTGGTGATGCAGTTGAAAATCATACTAACGAAATAGGTAGTATTGAATGCCTCAATAATAGTGTAAAAAACAATAAATCAGAAGTAAATAGCAAAGTGTATAGCAAAATCTATCGGCTGAAAAGGCGTAAAAGTACTTCGGATCAGGAATCAAATATAAATAAACACTTTTGTAACGAATGTTCACTACATTTCAAAAAAAGTAGCAATTATGTTATACATATGAGGAAAAAACATGGGGTTGAAACACCTCCTACTTGCATTTCTTGTCCACAATGTTCCAGGACTTTCAAATCTAGATTCAATTTAAAACGTCACATAAAAATACATCGACCTATAGCCGAGAAGCGAATATATCCATGTCCACAATGTGATCGAAAATTCCAAACGAAAGATTATGTATTTCGACATATTAAGTTTGTGCATGAGGAAATTCGTCCGTTCATTTGCGAGGAATGCGGTGAAGGTACGCACACGGAAACTACACTGCGTGAGCATATGCTTAAACATACCGACTATGCACCTTTTGAATGTGAGATTTGTAAAAAAGGATTTAAAACTCAAACGCGTTTGAAGGTACGTAATGCAAGCATTGAAGAGTATTCATAAGATATTATACAGAATATTTCCAGAATCATATGGAGATGCACAGCGCACATAAACATATCTGCAGCGAATGTGGTTTAGAATTGAATTCACGTGTAACTTTGAATCGTCATATGCTTGTACATTCTGATGAGATGCGTCATAAATGCGATTATTGTGGGCGCGAGTTCAAACGAGCAAAAACTTTAAAAACTCACTTAATACTTCACAGTGGATTAAAACCATATTCATGTGACTTTTGTGATAAAACATTTGCTAGTGGTTCCAATTGTCGTACTCACAAAAGAAAATCTCATCCCGATGAATTGGCGGCCTTAGAGGCTTCCGGAGAAAAAAAATTTACCAAAAATATCCCAAAATTAGCGGTTTTAAAGACTGTGTAAGTTGGCAAATTGGAACGATTGAAAACTAAGTTAATAATGTCGTAATCATTGCAGTACCCGCACAGCTGAGAATCTACTTCCCGTGGTATCCAAACAAAGTGGAAATTTTTCTTTGGGCAAGAAACCGAAACCCCCATCTAGTTGTAAAGATGAAAAACAACAATATGTAGAAAATAAAACATAAGTGTGTGTTATATTGCGTACTACTTTAATTAATTGTATATTAATTTTTAGTCTGGAAGATTTTAAAATACTCAAATAATTATCTTAGGACAAAGGCGCGATTTCTTTAGAACAGACATTTGTATTCAACAGCTGTGTTGTCAGCAGCCTTTGATCTATCCCTCTTAACTTACAATTCAAGTTTTAGTTTATATATTTTTTATTTTGTGTTTTTTGTTATGTGGTTTCAACCTGTTGTCCAAATAATATACATGAAAATATAAAATCCCATAATTTTTTATTAACATTTTATCAAACTAATTTTTATTTCATACAAATTTCCAATAGGTGTTGTAAAACTAAAATGAGTACCTTTCATATTATGGGGATGTTTTTATTCCCGTTTCTCTATACTTCAAACTACACATTGAAGTAATCAAATCCAAATTGTCAAAACATTTGTACATATATCATATATTTGTTATGAAAAAAATACAAGCAACTTTAATATTTATTATTTAATTTTTTAATAAATATTAAATATTCTAATATGTCCAACACATTTGAAGATTGCAGAAGTAACCTTGCCGACGCCGAATGGCAGTTTTGGTGCCGACTCTGTGCTAAAGACGATGTACGAAATATCAATATATATCCAGAACAAAACCAAACTTCAGTTCACACAAACGCTACGCTTATATATTTCATAGCGGAGTTTTTTAAAGTTCATGTAACTATATACATAATTAAATTGTATTAAAATAATTGCTGTATTTGTTATATTTTGTTTAGATACAGCAAAATGAAGATTTACCACATTGGCTTTGTACGCAATGCTTTTCGTTGGTTTCCTCCTTGTCAAAATTCACAAAACAAGTTAACAAAGTACAGAGTATGTACAACGAAATACAAAGTTCTGACCACAGAAAAGCTAAAGATTTTCGACTAATACGAGATAAATATAATTTAGTTGAGTATGAGTTCGTTATGTTCAATATGTCGGATACAAAATCATCTATTGAAAATATCTTTGTTGCCGATGCACCAGAAATAGTTATACACAACTCCTTGGATAATATTGTAAAGAGTGAAATAATATCGGACGAGTTACAGAGTGGCATACTTCTTAATGAAGGCGAATATAACAGTGAATTTCAAGATCCAATTGGTGATATGATTGAAAATCCTACTGATGAAGTAAGAGGTAATAGTTCTTTTAACAATAGTATAGATGACAGTGAATCTGAACAAAATGAAAAGGAATGCAAAAAACGCAATTGGACGAAAAAGCAACCAAATCCTTTGGATAAAGAATCAAAAACAGACAAGTACTTCTGTAACGAATGCTCACTACATTTCAAAAGAAGTAGCAATTATGGTATACATATGAAGAAAAAACACGGTATTGACATAGAAAGAGATCCTCCATCTTGTTTTTCTTGTCCGCAATGTTCGAGGTCTTTCAAATCTAGATTTAAATTGAATCGTCATATAAAAATACATCGACCTTTAGCGGAGAAGCGTATATTTCCATGTCCACAATGTGATAGAAAATTTCAAACTAAGGATTATGTTTTCCGACATATAAAGTTTGTGCATGAAGATATACGTCCGTTCATTTGTGAAGAGTGTGGTGAGTGTACACGCACGGAAACCACGTTGCGGGAGCATATGCTTATACATACCGACTATGCACCTTTTGAATGTGAAATTTGTAAGAAAGGATTCAAAAATCAAGCACGTTTGAAGGTATGTAATGAAAACATTAGAGACTATACATAAGATATTTAACAGAATATTTACAGAAACATATGGAGATGCACAGCTCGCATAAACATATATGTAGCGAATGTGGTTTAGAATTGAATTCACGTGTAACTTTGAATCGTCATATGCTTGTGCATTCTGATGAGATGCGTCATAAATGCGATTATTGTGGGCGCGAATTCAAACGTGCGAAAACTCTAAAAACTCACTTAATACTGCACAGTGGGTTAAAACCATATTCATGTGACTTCTGTGACAAAACATTTGCCAATGGCTCAAATTGTCGTACTCATAAAAGAAAATCTCATCCAGAAGAATTGGCGGCCTTAGAGGCTTCTGGAGAAAAGAAATTCACCAAAAATATCCCTAAATTAGCGGTTCTAAAGACTGTGTAAGTTGGCAAATTGGCACAATGATTGAAAACTAAGTTAATAATGTCGTAATCATTGCAGCACGCGCACAGCTGAGAATCTACTTCCCGTGGTATCCAAACAAAGTGGAAATTTTTCTTTCGGCAAGAAACCGAAACCCCCATCTAGTTGTAAAGATGAAAAACAACAATGTATAGAAAATAAAACATAAGTGTGTGTAACGAAAACTACTCTTATTAATTGGTATATTGGTTTTCGGTCTACAAGATTTTAGAATACTTAAATAATTATCCTTGAACGAAGGCGCAATTTCTTTAGAACAGACATTTGTATACAAAATCTATTAATTGTCAGTAGTCTTTGATCTATCACTCTTATCTTAAAATTCAAGTTTTAGTTTATATATTTTTTATTTTGTGTTTTTTGTTATGAGTGAGTTTCAACCTGTTTTCCAAATAATATACATAAAAATATGAATTCCCATAATTTTTTATTAACATGTTATCAAACATATTTTTATTTCATACCAATTTCCATTAGGTGTTGTAAAAAAAACTAGTACCTTTTTCTTTATGGGGATTTTTTTATTCCCGTTTCTCTAAGCTTCCAAACTACAACATTGAAGTTATCAAATCAAAATTGTCAAAACATTTGTACATATATCATATATTTGTTATAAAAAAATACAAGCAACTTTAATATTTATTATTTAAATTTTTTAATAAATATTCTAATATGTCTAACAAATTTGAAGATTGCAGAAGTAACCTTGCCGATGCCGAATGGCAGTTTTGGTGCCGACTCTGTACTAAAGACGATGTACGAAATATTAATATATATCCCGAACAAAACCAAACTTCAGTTCACACAAACGCTACGCTTATACATTTCATAGCGGAGTTTTTTAAAGTTCATGTAACTATATACATAATTAAATTGTATTAAAATATTTTCTGTATTTGTTATATTTTGTTTAGATACAGCGAAATGAAGATTTACCACATTGGCTTTGTGTGCAATGCTTCTCGTTGGTTTCCTCCTTGTCAAAATTCACAAAACAAGTTAACAAAGTACAGAGTATGTACAACGAAATACAAAGTTCTGACCACAGAAAAGCTAAAGATTTTCGACTAATACGAGATAAATATAATTTAGTTGAGTATGAGTTCGTTATGTTCAATATGTCGGATACAAAATCATCTATTGAAAATATCTTTGTTGCCGATGCACCAGAAATAGTTATACACAACTCCTTGGATAATATTGTAAAGAGTGAAATAATATCGAACGAGTTACAGAGTGGCATACTTCTTAATGAAGGCGAATATAACAGTGAATTTCAAGATCCAATTGGTGATGTGATTGAGAATTCTACTATTGATGTAAAGAGTAATAATTCCTTTAACAATAGTATAGATGACAGTGAATCTGAACAAAATGAAAAAGAATGCAAAAAACTTAATCGGATAAAAAAGCAACCGAATTCTTTGGATGAGGAATCAAAATCGGACAAATACTTCTGTGACGAATGCTCACTACATTTCAAAAGAAGTAGCAATTATGGTATACATATGAAGAAAAAACACGGTATTGTCATAGAAAGAGATACTTGTTTTTCCTGTCCACAATGTTCGAGGTCTTTCAAATATAAATTCAAATTGAATCGTCATATAAAAATTCATCGACCTTTAACGGAAAAGCGTATATTTCCATGTCCACAATGTGATAGAAAATTTCAAACTAAGGATTATGTGTTCCGACATATAAAGTTTGTGCATGAAGATATACGTCCGTTCATTTGTGAAGAGTGTGGTGAGTGTACACGCACGGAAACCACTTTGCGAGAGCATATGCTTATACATACCGACTATGCACCTTATGAATGTGAAATTTGTAAGAAAGGATTTAAAAATCAATCACGTTTGAAGGTACGTAATGCAAACATTAGAGAGTATACATAAGATAATATGCAGAATATTTACAGAAACATATGGAGATGCACAGCTCTCATAAACATATATGTAGCGAATGTGGTTTAGAATTGAATTCACGTTTAACCTTGAATCGTCATATGCTTGTGCATTCTGATGAGATGCGTCACAAATGCGATTATTGTGGGCGCGAATTCAAACGTGCGAAAACTTTAAAAACTCACTTAATACTTCACAGTGGATTAAAACCATATTTATGTGACTTCTGTGACAAAACCTTTGCCAATGGCTCAAATTGTCGTACTCATAAAAGAAAATCTCACCCCGAAGAATTGGCGGCCTTAGAGGCTTCCGGAGAAAAGAAATTCACCAAAAATATCCCTAAATTAGCGGTTTTAAAGACAGTGTAAGTTTAAAAAAGATATATACATATATATATATTAAATATAAAACAAAATTAATAACAATCGCATTATTTGCAGTACCCGCACAGCTGAGAATTTGCTGCCCGTGGTATCTAAACAAAGTGGAAATTTTTCTTTCGGCAGAAAACCGAAACCTCCAACCAGCGGTAAAGCGAAACAAAACAACAACAAAAACGAAGCACAAAAATGTGCGGAAAATACATAAGAGTGCTATGACGGTATTTCCTTGTTGACGATGTCTACAAAAACACAATATATACGGAGAATCGATAACTGATATTAAGTCGGTGGCTATTATATTTCTGGTATACTGATTTATCTATATCTTAATTAATTAAAGAATAAAAAGTGAGCGGTTATTATTGTAAATGTATAAAAAGAGGGCAGTTTATACAACGAATTGAAATGCTCTCATTAAAGCCTCACTTAAATATACCAAAATTGTCCCTATAAAAGCCCATTGCTTCTGCAACGGGCTTTTAAATTTTAAAATGTATTTATAGAAGAATGGGACTTAATTACGTACATGAATTCTTGATCGTAGTGATAAGTTATAGTCTTAAATTATTTCACTAAATTAGCAATTTTTATTACATTATATTATAATAAATGTTAATCAGGAGTCTGTTTGTTTATTTATCAAAAACTTTTGAAAGTCATTTGTCGCGTGGTTTCCAAGATTTAATTATGATTTCAATTTATACATACATATGTATGTGTATTTGTCTGAAACACGATGATAACAAATGGCCTTAAACTTATATACATATAATGGAAAGTAACTACCAGCCATACGCTCGCAAGGTACACTTTATCTCTATGTGTGTGATAACAGAAAATTAAGTAGTCTGGTTCTTAGGTTTTATGCGCGCAGTTAATAGTTTTTGTTTAAAAGGTTTTTTTTGGTTTTCTTTAATTATTGCCATAAAAAATTAATTTTAATCCAATATTTTTGCTATAATTTTAAAGAACTGTCTTTCTTTTCTTTATATAAGAGATGAATTTACACATATAATACCATTAAGGCTAAGGGATATAAAAACAAGTTAAATCATATTACTTTGGCAAGCGAAACAAATTTTGGCAGCTTATTATAGTTTATAAGGTATGCATTTTCATTATTTTTATATTATATATATTTATATATATTGTATGTTATTCAATAAACTAATTTAATTTTGTTAATTAAAGTTCTAATGATATGTATGCAATAGGCTTCGATACGCCTGATTACAACAGTGTTCCTTCAATGTCATTTGACATGAAAATTATTGGCAACTCTATTTACCACCTCTGCTGATAAATTTTGTAATTTGACGTTTCTTTTTTCATTCTTGAAATTCAGTTCGATTTGATTTGCGGTGTGTATGTAACCTTCCTAGAAAGGTTGGTGTGTGTAGCGCAATTATCACTATATTAATTTCTATCTAAAAAACTGTCTCTTTTAACAAGGTGGGCAGTATTTTTGCAACGAATTTGTGCGGCTAAAAATTGTAGAAACATTTTAGTTGTATTTTATTAAAATTGATTTAATTCGATAGTTGTTCAATAATTTGTTTGCGTGTTACTTTAGTGCGTCAAGATGTTGAGGACAATTGCAGCACGCAACGAACTCATAATACTGCGTGGAACAGCGCTGGCACGAGCAAGACCAGTACGTGAAGCCGTACGTGTTATGGGCGCACAAACGGCAAGGAAGCTACAGACACTCAGGTGCGTCTCATTTATAATATCAAACGGAGTTGGTGATGCTCTGATGACGTTTTAAGGTTAGAAAGCTGATTGTGTAACCTCGTCTGATGATTTATGCTGATTGCAAAAACCGAAAAAATGTAGAGAATGTCAAATACAAATTGACATTAGCGTAAATGAAAGGAATTAGTTATTATATTGAGTTTCCAAAATTAATTGAAAAAGAAATATACTTATTTACAATCTAGTTGGCAGGCGGTGGGATGAGGTGCTTAAGCTGGTTCGTTGCTATTAATTGATGTCGTCACGATATGCTACTGATAATGGCATACTCGACCGTTTTCTACGTTAATAGTATACTTTTTGTGCATATATTTACAAGTGTGTGTACAAGTATATGTAGATGAACATACTGACTTTTAAACAGTTCTTATGATATAAACATTTATTTGAATTGGTTTAGTTGCACTCGTAACAGTGACACACACCTCAGTGTGAATTTTTAAAATGTTAATTATAAATACCATATGTACTCTACTGTTATTACACCCTGAACAATATACCACGAAGTTATAGCACCCAAATGGAAACGTCGGAGACACCGTAATATATATGTGTATAAGTGATTAGCGTGACGAGTTGAGTCGAATTAGCCATGTCCGTCTGTCGGTATTTTGCGCACATCCATTTCTCCCAAAGAATCTGCTCATTTGTTGAAACCGGACGACAATAGTATATAGTTAGGCAACGGAAAAATTTATGTCGTAGATCGGACTACTACAGGATATATGTACATAGCTGTCATAAAAACCGACCGATCAAAATCAAGATATAGATTTTTTTTATACTCTTTGTTTTTTGCTATAGAAAGTGCGAAGGTTATTATAGCTTCGGTGAAGCCGAAGTTCACGTTTATTATTATTATTTTTTTATCGTTTTATAAGTCGGCTTCACCGAAGCTAACGTTTATTATTATTATTTTTATCATTTTATAAGTAATTTAAAATTACAGAGATGTTTTAACTTATAATCGTTCTGCATTTAAAATCCCATCCACGGCTTCACAACTTCATTTTGCAAATATTTTTAGAAAATATAATATCGTGTCTGTATTTTGATGGGTCGGCATTTTAAGTGTTCCCTTACTTTATTATATACAATAGTTAATATATAATAGAATTTATAAATGAGGAACTGATGTTCTTTTTCCCAATCACATTTTCTTATAAGACTACCAATATCGTATTTATTGCAATAAACATAAATTTATTCGCATCTAGACTTGCACCGAAGAACCATGTGGCCACCGTTACAAAGCCGTTGGGTATGTGGAGTACGAATTTTGCGCGCAACTACGCCGACCTGCCGTCGCACATCAAAGTGCCACTACCGGCGCTATCGCCCACTATGGAACAGGGTACCATTATTAGTTGGGAGAAGAAAGAGGGCGACAAATTGAACGAAGGTAAATAAAGTATGTGAAACGTTTTGAAATGTCAGCGTTACCATTTTCAATATTTGCAGGTGATCTGTTGGCTGAAATCGAAACTGATAAGGCAACTATGGGCTTCGAAACACCAGAGGAGGGCTACTTGGCCAAAATTGTCGTACAAGCTGGTACCAAAGATGTAGCCATCGGTAAATTGGTTTGCATTATTGTGCAAAATCAAGAAGATGTGGCAGCATTCAAGGATTTTGTTGACGATGCACCAGCAGTGGCAAAACCAGCTGCAGCAGCACCACCACCAGCAGCAGCTGCACCAGTAGCACCGCCACCACCAGCACCAGTTGCTGCACCAGCACCTGTGGCCGCCGCACCTGTCGGTGGTAAGCCCATGACAGCCGTTGAGCAACGCGGCGAACGTGTGTACGCCAGTCCAATGGCAAAAAAACTGGCCGAAGCACAGAGTCTACGATTGCAAGGTTTCGTTCTATACATCCCTTTGTTAAAATCTAATACACTTCTTGTTTGCTTACTAATTGGCTTTTATTTTTGTACATCCCGCATGCAGGTAAAGGCAGTGGCATCTATGGCTCAATAAAATCTAGTGATCTTGCAGGCATGGCAGCAGCCGGACCAGCGGTCGGCGCACATGCAGCACCGGCTGCACCCCAAGGAGGCTATATCGATATACCGGTTTCAAATGTGCGCGGCGTGATTGCGAAGCGTCTAAAGGAGTCGAAACAGCAAATACCGCACTATTATGTGACCATGGAATGTCAAATGGACAATGTATGTGACATAGTTATTTTTTTTGTTATATAATTTTTAATATGCGAATTATTGCTTTTTGTTTGCCAGCTGCTGAAACTACGCGAAAAGGTGAATAAGAAATATGAGAAACAGGGTGTACGTGTGTCGGTTAATGATTTTATCATTAAAGCCACTGCCACGGCATGCCGCAAAGTGCCGGAATCCAATTCCTATTGGATGGAAAGCGTGATAAGACAGTAAGTAACACCAGTATGAAAATTACAATCACATACAGCAGCTGTGAAAACACTATTTGCATTTATTTAACACATAGATTCGACAATGTCGATGTATCAATGGCCGTCTCCACTGATACCGGCTTAATTACGCCAATTGTTTTCGGCGCCGACCGCAAAGGTGTAATTGATATATCAAAAGACACCAAGTCATTAGCTGCCAAGGCCAGAGAAAATAAATTGAAGCCTCAGGAATTCCAGGGTGGTACCGTTTGTGTATCCAATCTCGGCATGATGGGTGCGTATTCAAAGCATTAGATTATGCAAAAAACATATTTGCTTGCAATTATTTTTATTAATTATGAAAAAAAAATTTTTTTTAGGCGTTTCACAATTCTGTGCCGTCATAAATCCGCCACAATCCTGCATTTTGGCAATTGGCGCCACAACGAAGAAGTTGATACTCGACCCCGATAGCCTTAAAGGGTAACTATATGCTAGCACTGTTTATTAGAAAACCAGTTTAATTATGTGTAATGTGTTTTAATTTGTGCTTGCAGTTTCCGCGAAGTCAGTGTAATGAACGTTACTTTAAGTGCGGATCATAGGACAGTGGATGGCGCTGTTGCTGCCAAATGGCTGCAATACTTCCGCGACTTCATAGAGGATCCACAAACAATGATTCTTTAAGTTTAGCACTACAAAAGAATACCTTCATAAATACATACATACACCCACATTCAGTTAAGCGTAATCCATTATAGTGACCAACGAATGTTTAGGTAGAAAAGAAAAAGAGAATTCTGCGCAAGCGTGCAACGTAACAGCCATCACACATATTTCTACGTTGACACATTTTGGTCCCACAGCATCCAGAGAATTTACCATCGGAGAGAGCTTTGTTGTGTATGTTGAAATATACGCGATTATGTGGAGTTAATTTTTTGCTTTATTTTTAATTATGACTTAATTGGTTTTGAATCTGCTGATATGTGATTTTTTCTTTTAATTTAGTTCCGTTTTCTTTATTTTTGTTTTGCTAATTAAATTAGAAAAACAAAACAATATTGTATATATATATATGAAATGAAATGAAAACACATTAATTTGTAAATTGAACTTGGTGTGCCCCACAAGGTACGGAATGATATTGAAAATAGAGCAAAAGAACTGCCTTAAAGAAGAAAATACAAAATATGCATTGCTTGTTGTTGCATTATTAATTTATATGTTACCATATTATAATATAAGCGCCAAATCAGATGTTATAATATTTAAATATAATAAATCATTTGTCAATGATAAGGCGACCGTACAACACGTACATGTATTTATGAACAGTTATATAAACAAAAATCGCCACGTCCACGACAACACATAAGCGCATGCATGGAGCGCATGGCTAATTGAAGCAAATGCATTATTGCCTCAACTTATTTAATAATTTATGAAATATTATTATTTTTGATTTTCTTTTTTTTTTCTGTTTGGTCCATTTATTATAATATCCAATAGTCGTTATTCGCGAATTCTTGGTCCTTAAGGTAACTGACAGTTCAGCATTGCTGTTGTAATTTAAATAAATTAATAACAAAATGTAGAGAAATGAATAATAATAAAAAAAAAATGAAGGGAAATACACATCTAGACAAATGAAAGACGAATTTATTATGTAACACTTTTATTACCACTTAATTGTAGTATAATAGGTAGAAAAAATGGAATAATGCTTAGTAACTACATGTGTAGGTGAAAGACGCGTTTTTAGCAAAAGCCTGCGTTTAATGTAATTTTTTTTTTGCAACAAACAAATTTTGCATTTGCGTGGTTTTTGTTCTTCAAGTAAGCGAGAGAGAAAAGGAATGTACAGCCTTTGATTGTAGCAATTATTGCACGCTGTGATACTCATTGGTTTACCACTTCGCTGGACCCAGCTCAGACCATTCTCTAACGAAATCGGCATGTTTCTCTAATGGCGAGAACCAATCGGCACCACCGTAATCGATTTTCGGTTGTGTACCTTTGTAGTTTTCGGGCAGGATTTCGGGCGAGAGGAACTTCTGCAATGACTTCATATCGCTACCGTGAAAATGCATCTGTAAAATAAAAATAATACAATAATAATTTAGTTGATATGAATTTGAAAAAATAACTGGCAGACACGGCTGTATGCTTGGTTGCAACACTACGTTCATGGTATATTTATTTTGTCGTTTAAAATAAAAAATAATGTAAATTTTGGTTCCATCGTAGCTATGATACCCTACACTGCAACATTCCTTATATCGATTTTGATAGGTCAGTTTGTACATATGGCATATATATGCTATAGCGATTCGATCCGTGCTTTGTCAAACAAAAAAATTTTCCATGTAAAAACTTGATTTGGAACGGTCAGTTTGTAAGGCAACTTTATGCTATAGAAGTCCGGTTCGAACAATATGTTCGGAGGTTGTAGCGTTACCTTGGACAATGAGATTTGCCAAATCTCTTGAAGATATCTTCACGAATCAAAAAATGTTCCATATAAAAACTTGATTTTCATCGGTCAGTTTGTATGGCAACTATATGTTATAGTGGACCGATATCGGCGATTCCGACGAATGAGCAGCTTCTTGGAGAGAAAATAATATGCATAAGAAATTTCAGATCGATATCTCAAAAACTGTGGAAATGTTGGCGTATATGAATATGGTTAAATCTTTTCAGCTCGTCATGCTGATAATTTATATATGTATATAATTTATTTAGTCTCCGACATTTCCTTCTGGGTGTTACAAACTTCGTGGCAGACTTAATATATTCTGTTTAGCGTACAACAAACGGAGACTTATACCGTATCAATACCCGTTCAAACAATAGACAACATTATGTATAAGGCTCCCACTCACCCTCTTGTTAAGCTTCTCGCGTACGAATGGCTTGAAGAGCGCCCACACCATTTTAAAGATGAAAGGTTGTTTCACAAAATGCACCTCCTTCATGCGCAGTGGCATTGCATCCTGTATGAAGGTGAGTAGACGTTTCGAGAAACTCGGCGACAGAGCTCTGACCTGCTTCATTGACAGACCATCAAAGTCCATTATGCAGACAACACCGCGCACTTGTGTTTCCGGTTCGAGTTGGGCGGCAATGTGCACCATATACAACATGCGGAAAACATCATCGGACGGCACCGAATTGGGATCCCATAATTCACCACAATTCACAATCATAACACGTCGTCCATGTTGATCGCAATTCTTCAACACATTCACAATACCGTATTGTATGAATTTATCCTTCAGCTGTTCAATGAGTAGACCATGAACAAGTGCGGCATTTTCTTTGCGGAAAGCGGCTGTTGTGCGCATCTGGAATGGGAAAAGTATTTATGTATTTAGATTGGTTTCAAATGAAATTAAGTTCTATTGCAGTTAAATAAATGTTATATATAACATAAGTTAAGTTTAGGTTCCAAAGATTGTCGAGCTTTTAAAACGTTTGCTTATCTTAGTTTTTAGTAAAACGAATGGATCCTGGTATATTAGTTTCAATACTACTATTGCTGACGTTTTCTCCATATATAAGACTCCAGTTGATAGCTCTTAACTACCATTACCTCAGCGTAAACGAATAAATAAAACACTATGAGTTGCTAAATCTTAAATTATTTCAGAAAGAATAGTTTCAGATATTTATATCATTGCGGAGTTTTTCGAGCACACTGAATGATGGAACCACCACTGGCTACTACTTCAGTGAATGACGCCTGAGCTCGAATAGCTTGGTCACATCGAAGTTCATTGCGAAGTGAACATTGCGCAAATCACTATGACACAAATAGTTCTTTTGATCCGGGGTGAGGTCTACGTGATCTCTTGTGGTCAATAAAATAAATATCTCTTTGGTAATAGGTCTGACTAGTCACCGTCTGTTTGATGCGTTTAAGAAAAAGGTAAACAAGTTTAAGAGTGAGTTCCAAATTTCAAAAAATAATTACTCAACAGGGTGTTTGTTCTGGTTTCTGGCAGAAGAACTAGTTTTGAATCAGTTTTCCTGAATAATCTTAATAATGAAACATTACAAGTTTAAACCATATATTATTAAAGGATATATGGGTATATGCATGACAATAAGATTAAATGCTCTATAAGTCATTGTGAGGTAGGGGAACCGATTGGAGAAGTTATAATTAGCACATATATTACTTTAATATTGACTGTTTCATACTCTTGTCTATTTTGTTTAAATTAATTCGTTGTTTGTTATTTATGCTTGTATAGTAAATATAACTAAGCCGTTCCGAAAAGTTTCGGGATCCTGACAATTTTATTTATATATTGGAGACAAATTCAGTTATTTTTTAGTGTTTATAGAATAATAATAATAGCGCCTGTGGTGCCGAAAAATATCGGTATCCCGAAATTGACAATTTAAAATAACTAAAATAAATTAATATACATTTTTGAAACGAATTTTACAGTAATTATGAATATTTCATGTTCTATCTGACTAATATTTTTAAATGAATGATGATTTTGTTATTTATATTTACATACATGTAAAGTAAGAGTTTCGGAATCCCGAAATTTAATTTTATTTAATAAAAATAAAATCGGTTATCTTTTTACTCGTTCATATGGTCCCGAAAAATATCGGATATCGAAATTATATTGTAAAATTTCCAAAGTGAATTAAATTAAATTTTTCAATTGAAATTTTTACATTAGTTATGAATATTTCATGTTCTATCTGTCTAATATTTTTAAATAAATGACTATTTTGTTATTTATACATGTACAGGAACGATATTTCAAAGGATTCCGAAAAGTTTTGGAATTCCGAAATTTAATTTTGTTTAATAAAAATAAATTTGGTTATTTTTTACTGGTCATATGGTCCCGAAAATTATAAGATCCCGAAATTGATATATTAAAGTCACGAAAAAAATTTAATTAATTTATTAAATTGAAATTTTTACTTTAATTATGAATATATTATGTTTTATCTGTCTAATGTTTTTAAAATATTTAATTTTTTGTTATTAATGCATGTAATAGAAGAGTAGTCCAATGGATCCCGAAATTTAATTTTGTTAAATAAAAGTAAATTCGGTTGCTTTTTACTGGTTATGTAATAATACTAGTCTATATGAAAATAATTTTTTTCAAAATGAAAAATTTAAAAATTTTGCATTGTTATTTTTTCTAATGAAATTGTGAGTTATTTAAATTTTTTATCGACAAGCATATACTATATACTCGTACTATGCCAACAAATCTGCACATTTATGCATATTTTGAAGTTCTGTAGGTTCTTTTAAACAAGTCATTGTGTATAATATACATATGTACTTGTATATAGGTATATAAATCACTGCATTGCCAATGGTTGTTTACCTTGTCAAAGGCAAGGCGGTTGGCTTGCATTATGCAATCGAGAAAATGACATAACTAACTGATACGCGGCGCTTCATACATACAGATGAACTGGCAATCACCGAATGGAATTTAGAATAAGATTCTACATGTCGACACACATAAGTATGTACATATGTTTGTACGTATGTTGTTAATATGCAAATATGTATGTTTATCGCGTTCAGCCTAATCCGCTAGCGTACGACCGAGAGTATGGGAGCAGAAGCTAGACATAAGCAAATACAAAAAAGCGTCTTAATTGAGGTCTTGGTCAAGAACAACACAGAAAATGACGTATAATATATACTATATAGACATAGGTATGTATATGTATTTGTATGACTAACTGGCTTCCGCGCAAACGTAACGCCGTTATAACTGCTAAAGACGCTTCCGCGCACTTACTCACATATGTACATACATGCATACGCATACTAGTGCGAATTTGCATGCAAACAGTTAAAATTTGGTTAAACGTTTCGTTGTATATATGTATGTATATTTATAGATGTGGTATGCAATAGCAAGCTGTTGCCACTTTTAATTGTTGGCAAAGAAGCTGATAATTGATGGCCCATATATGGGATCTTACTGCATACACACATACATATATGTATGGTACAAAGGCCAAAAATTTTGTTATCAAAATATTTATGACACACAACACATATATACATATGTGCATACATACATATGTTTGTACACTCGCGGTCAATGGTCAATGGCTAATTACTTTTTATTTTGCTTTAGTACACCTTGGTCAGCTTTGATGTATTATCCATCCGTGCACTGCAACTAATATGTTTGTATGTATGTATATATTATATAATTTTATAATCGCGTCGTAAAGCCTCTTTGGCTAACCGCGCTAAGCGTAACTCGCTAATAAAGCTTTCGATATCATGCAATTCATAAGCGTCTAATATTTTTATAATACATACATATGTACATGTTTATTACACTAATATGCGTAGGTAGGTATGTATGTATAAAAATATATTTAAACAGAGCATAAACTCTGTACAGAGAGCCTTTAACTTAACAGCCAAAAGCCCTAAATTTTTGTAACTCAGGGTCTTTCATAATGCCACACCCTTGATTTTGGTCATGGGCTTGACTTTTGTTTTTCATAAGTATTGTGGTAGCGGATTATACTCAGGCGACTCTTTGAAACCAGGCAAGAAAGGTTGGATTTATTTTGCAAATCCACTCAATGGAATTTATGGGTTAGAAAACGTTTGTTGAACTTTTAAAAACCATTATATGATGATTTGAAATGGCATTTTAACGTTTCCCTATTTTCTTGGAATCTTTAGGATGGTCACGACACTTTTTAACACCTAGTTTTCGACAGTTTCAGTTGCAGATCGGATCGGACTTTGATATGTAAGCTTTGAAATAAACAGGTTCATTAAAGAATTACGAAATATAATAATACACTTCATCATGAGAGCATTCCATATGGGAATTGGGTTGAATGATCAACTCTGAATCCCTTCCAATTCCATTCTACAAAGCTCTCTTGCTTCTTCTGCGAATCTGTGACTGTATAAATTTGGCTTAGTTTTTTTTTAATAGAGATTATCCTGGGCTTGGTTTACTACATAGCTGAGACGACACTACTACTTCTACCAAACCTAATTTGACGACGGATGACCGTTCTTACTACAGTCGGGTCTACGTTACCAGAGCGGAGCAGGATTTTCATCCGGCCAAGAACTTGGCAGCCTTCCTCCGCATTACTTCAGGGATATTGCGTTCAAGTAAATGTATTAAAAAATATTTAGCTGTGCAATTACATTGCGGGTTTTTAAAAAACTAATGGTCGAAGCTGTGGGGAGCTATCTTCTACTATATAACTCTACTAAATAAAGTTTTTAGTTTTCTAATAACTCAAAAAACTATAGCTTTGGAACAAATTCATGTAAAAGTATAACCGTAAATCAAAATAATAATTTTTATTCATTTTCTGCTCAATTGGATAACAGATTTTCGAGATATTAGATATTTTTGTAATCAAATTTTTTTGAAAACCATATTTTGTGGACTTGAGCACTTAGTAATCTATCTGGAATGCTTTGTTTTTTAGCAAAAAAGTAATTAATTAATTATATCTGGCTGGGTAATTTTCATAATATTTCACATATTTCTATTTGTGTGAATTTTACAACTACACTATCTACTAAAGCCTCTTGCTAACCCAATCACTTCAAATCTTGCAATGTCGTGGTACTGAAATAATGAATTACCAATGCGATTGCTTAGTTGCTCAAATCAACTTGCATAAATTCTGCGCACGTAGTTAACGTAGTAATTGCAGTAGGTATGTACATACATGCATACGTACTTTTGTATAAAAAACTCGAACTCAATAACCTCAGCTTGGTTTTGACAGCGAGACGTACTTAACAACAAGATGGTTTCGAAGATTAATATGTGTGAACAACACCAATGTATGTATGTATGCATGAATATGTATAATTATATTTAAAAATTGCACTGATTAATACAAAAATCCATATATATTGAAGTAATCACAAAGCACTCTGCACGTAATGCTCCAATAAAAATTTGTAAATATAATATAATATGTTAATATATTACTAAGATAGCCTATATAAATATAATCAATAAAATAATTGTTTTGTTTTTGGTTTTAAATTGCCACATGCCTATATAGAGTTAAGGATGCAAAATAATTGTTTTTTACTATATTGAAACCCTGCAGGAAAACTTTACTTGAGTGAAAAGTAAAATTTTTTTTTTTTTTTTAATTTTTATACAATTTGTAAACTATTATTTCCCAAACCTCTTTATCATAAAAGTTTTTTATAAATTCGAATTTAATTCTTTAACTCCTTTAAATCAAACAAAGCTCCTACAGGGGTGGCAACATATTATGTATATACGAGTATTTGCCATATGCATATTTGTTATGTAAAAAACCTGGAAAACAATAATTAATTTTTTTCGTATTACAATTGGTCAGCTTATCAGCTTTTCGCATGCGAAAATAACGAAAAGGAAGAAAAATAATTTTAAACAGCTGCCGTCCCATAAATATATTTATATGTGGTATGTAAGATGGAAAATTTATTGAAAATTTACTGTTTTTGAGGCTTATAAACCTAGAGACACATTTGTTTCATAATTATAAATATTTACTTTGTTGTCATTATTTTTGATTTGCCTTTGTACTGAACTTATATTTAAACTAATATTTTCCACTATGTTCCAAGCTGATCGCTCTCTTATCTATGTATGCAGAGACAGATAACCCTTTAGCACTTGCATGTTTTACTTTTAATACATTCTTGCAGTTAGCATCTGGATGATTGAGTACAACAAAGTTACATACTTTCTGAAACTTTAACTTTGCTAAAAACTATGGGAGATGATAAAGCTAGTTCTTTGAACCCGCAAATATTATAATTTATGATTTTAATTTAATAATAATCAGCAGTCTCAATATATACATATTATATATAGAACGGACAAAATGTTTCAAAGGGATGTATGTAGATCCGGGATAGATAGAGTGAGCAGGTTTATCGGCCTGCTTAATTTTAAACAATTTATTAGGAGATCTAAAAATTGGAATGGAAGCTTCTCGAAACAAACATAAAAGATGTACAATAAAGGTATGTGAAATGCGAAGGAAAATAAATATGCTTCAGAATAAAATAAATCACCAATAGACATATTGAAAATACAACTACGTGTACAACACAGGGTTGCGAGTTTTCGCGAATCCAAAAATTGGTATTAAAAATTTAGAATTCAATTTTCATTCCCAATATTAGAATTAAAAATTTATGAATGCTATTTTTTAAAACAAAAGATGTAACAAAGAAGGATAAAAAGGAAAAATTTAAATTAACATATTACTATAAAAATATTTTTAAAAGTAATTAGATTTAAATAAGACAAAAAGTGTTAAGCTTTACTGAAATTTATAAAATAAGCTTTACTTTATTTACAATTTTACAATTTACTTTCATATTACATTAAGTCAATAATTATTTTTTCTTAAATTTGTTTAAGCAAGTATTTATGGCTCAAAATGCTCATAATTTAATTTATTATATTTTGGCAAATTAGGCATTGTCGCATTACTAAAACGACTTTCGGTAAATTAATTTTAATTTTTGAATATAAGCTTGTGCTTAACATTTTTTTAAAGTTTTCAATTCGGTATTTAGGATTCAAATTTTATATTTTTAATCTGATTTTTGGGATTAAAACTTTTTTTTTAAATTTTTGAAATCTGTTTTTGAATTTAGAAATTTAAAAATTATTTTTGAATAAGACTTTCATGATTACAAAATAAAAAAATGATTACAAAATAAAAAAAAATTTAAATGTTAATTGAATTATCTTTTTAATATATATATTATTTAGTTTATTGGTATAACCCAACAGAGATTTGCGCGACTGTTTCAAAAAATAAAATAAATAAAATTAATGGGAAATGAAATTGAAAATATAATTCTATTCGTCAAAATTCATGAATATCAAAACCGTAATATATATAAATATATTTTTTTGAGAGAAATTCTTAATAAAATAATAATCTTGACTATAAGTAAACTCATTAATAATTATATGAATTAATAAGAAAAATAATTCAATTGAATATAATTAAATAATAAATTACGTTTGAAAAAAATGCTTAAAGTTAAAATAATGATAAACCCACATAAAAAAATAATAAGTATTGAAATATTTATAATTTAAGAAAAAAAATTTAAACTTGACATAAAATTGTTGCTATATTAGTTATAAACATTTTTAGAAAAAAATATTTCAAACAGGCAAAAATAATATATAACTTTAAAATAAAATAAAAATATAATATTTATATAATTACAAAAATTATATGAATCTTTCGTAATAAAGATAAAAATGCTGCAAATAATTAACTAAAAAATATCAAAACCAAAAAAAAAAAGAAAAAACTCATGTTTCAGTACACTACAAATATATTGAATAATTATAAATTAAATAAGGTAATTTAGAATTAAAATATCATATGTTTTATTTGATTAGGCGACCACTATTAGCAAAAAAAATTATAAATAATAACAAATACAATATATAAAATTAGTATAATTCAAAAAAAATATAAACAAAAGTAAAAATAATAGTATTATAATAAGAAATAGTTTTAAAATAAATAAATAAAATTAAAAAATAATAATTTTCAGTTATACATATTACCTAAAAGGATTCGGAAAGCATTTTAAATACTTTTTTTTAAATATTTTTTATAAATATATTTTATAATTTTTATATATAAATATTATAATTAGGTATCTCACTGCCCATTCTTATAAATTATTGAGTTAAAAAATGAAACAAAACAAATTCTATAAATATAATTTTGGAGACCTACAAGTATATCTTCGATTATAACATAAAATTGTTAATACAAAATTAAAATATATTAATAATTAAATAAAAAAGTGAAAAATATGGTGCCTTAAACTTTTGGAGTTATCATCACCGTAACCTTCGTATGCGATCGAGAACTAATTAGTATGTATGAACTTGCGCCATGCTTAGTATTAACTATATCGTCTATGAAAATTTGCATGTTCTCAATTTCGGCATTTCTGTGATTTATTATGCTTCACAATTGTTTTTGCCGCACAAATGAAAAGTAATGCTTTATATACATATTTTCAATGTTTTTACTTCGTTGTTCTTTTGCACCGCCAGTTAACTGTCCTTAACCTTTGCGATTATTTATTTGACCTACCTTTTCGAGCGCACTCTGTGGATAGAAATGGCAAGCGCGTAGAAATATCACTAGAAATTCATCGTCATCCTTGTAATTAATATCTGTGGCAGCATGCAGGAGTTCGCGCAGCTCCTTAATAGCGGCCTCTTTGACTTCGGGCGTCTCGCGCAGCTCATTTTTGGCAATCTCGACCGTTTCGGGTTTCAAGTAATCAATACGTATATTGAACGCTTCCTCGCTGTTCACGTTCGACATTTTGTACGATGTGTGTGTTTGCTTTTGTGTTTGGTTACTAACTGCGGAGAATCGGAAATTTTTATTATGAGCTCAAAATTTGTTAATTTTATTTTTATTTTTATAGTACACGCACGACGTTGACAGTTTGTAAATTTCTGTTTTTTATGCACGTAGAGTTGCAAAATTAACTAGACTTAAAATTGGCTACAAATTTAATGCACTGCAATTATCAAGATGTGCTTTCAAGATAATCCATAATTTGTTTACGGAAACCAACATTCGAGGATCACTTCAACGTAAACGTGCGTGCTCTTGCGTATTGGCAGCGTGCAAAAAGTAATCACCTGTAATTGTAAACAATTTACGCTTCACGTTTGTTATGCGTTATGTGCACTCTTCTAGGGTACACTCCAAATGAGGGCGTTAGTTTTCGGTGTGCGCTTTTGAAATTCAACGGTTAACGGTTAATACTAAACAAGTATGGCGTATTTACACTTCCACATCCGACAGCACATTTGAGTCAACTGAATTTTGCTTTGCTATTTAGGAGCCTTGCAAGTTCGCTTCGCTTGTTGATTAACGCTAAAAGACGCTCAACGATCGACGTTCAAACGGCGCCGGCGTTGGCGTCGCGACATAGCAGGCTGCGCGCTGCTAGTTAACTGCAATGGGAGCTGTGGCGTCTTGTGAGTTTATGTTTAATGATAAGTTTGTTGCTGTTTGACGCCCGTTCTCAGAGGCGTTGAACGCCGAAATTTTTGTTGATAGCGGCGAGCGTAGTGTTAAGGTACACACGCTTGAATGGGTTCTTAAGTTAGTAGTTGTGGTGACTAAGTAACCCAATCAGCTAGTGTCGACCAATTGTTTAACTTCAACCTTAAGAATTTGTTTTCAACAAAAAATTTAAATAATCTTAAATAAAACCAAGAATTCATTTAAAAAAAAAAAAAACAAAAATATATTTGACAACAAATAAACCAAGATGTGAAAAGAGTTCCCACACTTTAAGAAAAATAAAATTTTTTTGAAATGTGAATAAACAAAAAATATATGAAATGGCTAAAAAATAATGTTTTCTAATTTATAGGGCTATTTAATTATTTCCTAACTTAAACCCTTCGATACGACGATGTGCAGAAGAAAAATTCGTAGAACCAAATTTTCAGAGAGTGTTCATGTTCATTTAATTCTTCGAGAATGCATGAGATTTTATAGGAAAAAATAGTCTAAAATGTCCTAATTTGCTAAATCAGATTTGTAGCTTCTATCAGCAGTGAATCCTTTTAACTAAATGTTCCGGTTTTCAAGTATGATCTTTATTGCATTGATTTGAGTTGGGCAAAGAGTTTTCGTTTTTCGAATAAGCAATTCGAAAACGCAAAAATAGAATTGTGAAATAAAAATACTCTGAATTCGTGGAAATTAAGTTTCGATTCGAGTTTCAAAAAGTGATAGGTGATAAGCATATATGGACACAATCAATCAATAATTCACTAATTCGTAATAAAACTTAAAGTAAAGTAGTAGAAAGTAATATCTCTACGAATATATGTACATAAAGTATAGGTATGTACATATGAGGATTTTTCAGTAAATAAACAGTTTCTAAAACTTACCAAAATTTTCTTTATTTTCCCTGAAGCTGCTGAATCCTGTAGCAATATCCATTTTTTTAGTATTAAATTTCAAATCCTTTCAGCTGGAGCTTTTTCAATTTTTTTTTTCACCTGTAATAAACATTAGGCACATAAATATGTTATAGAACTTTACTATATATTTTATGAAATAGTAATTACTTACATTTTGGATATAAAAATCCGGGTGGTCGTACAAAAAGAGATCTTTATAGCCTTCATTTGTTTGCGAAGCTCGTAAAAAATAAACAAAATCACTTAAGTGAATACTTTTTTACATATCTAAAGGCTTCATATGCTATATAGGAAAAATGGCATGCTAATAGTCTACATTTTGGCGCCTAAGATAATTATTATAAGTGCAATAGAATTTTCATAGTTGATGCCATTTCCATCGATCGTATTCGACGGTATTTCGAAAAAAGTTGGTCTGGGTACGATATGTTTGAATAATTTATTAGATAGTGTCAAAAAATATCGAAAAAGTTATTATTCAAATCTAAAGATATTTCTAAAAATTTGACCACCTTATTAGTGCCTTCCGAAAATAATAAAATTTTAATGTAAACATTTTTCAAGCGTTAACTGACAGCGCTAAAAAAGGTTCTTCACACATAAAAAAATACTCTTCAAGAAGATTTAGTCCGTACAATGACCTGCAGTAAAAAAAAAACGAATCAAAAGTTGATTAAATAGCGGCCTGGTATAATTAAATTTTTGATCAAAGCAAAAAACTGGTAGGTCATTACATTTTAGAAGGCTGTAACTCAAAAACTATTTGAAATATCAATATAAAGTTTTAGTAGGTTATTTTTAAAGATATAACCTATCGAATTTTGAAGAAAAATTAATTTTTTTTTTAAATTCACACTGTCACACCTTGAGCATTAAGCATTTTTCATATTGACTATATTTTACACCGGATACAAGTATATCTGAGATTTTTTCTTATTGCCCAAATTTTTAATGTTCTGTTCGCTACTTGGCTCAGTCCTCCCACACTATTTAGATTTTATATAAATTATGCTAGCTTGTAAAGTAACTAAACCCAAATGTTTATTGGGTTATGTTCATCAAGCGATCACGTTTGTCGATTGTGAAGGAATACATGCAAGCGACAATGCTTATCTTCCTAACGAATATGGAAGATTTGTTTGTGTATTTATTGACGCTTAATATTTATATTCCAGTTCACATTTCTCTTGACTTTCCCAGTTAAAACAAAAATCATATATGTACACACATACATACATACAATGCAGTACGAATGCTACTGAACAGCATTATTGTCGATCACTTATCGCGTCGCTCTGCTATCAATGCACTCACCCATGCGCAAGAGAGTATTGGAAGCAGTATTCGAAGCGACAGCAACAGTGACTGTGGCAGCGCAGTTGCCGATCGTGATGTATTACCAAAATACTGCGATCGTATTTGGGTTCTTTCTCCAATCGTTCGCTGTGTTGTTGTTTTAATCAGTTGTTGATTTAAACTGCTTCCTGAACTATATTCACACATTTGTGAGTGTGTTTTTACGTGCGCCTCGACACTAATTTGCTCACCTCCTACACCTTCATTAACTTGTGCTTCTGTGTTCTTCTTGAAGCCAACGCCGCTATTGGTGTTTCAAAGGTTAGTCTTGGTTAATTGTGAAATAATTGCAAAACAATAAATTAGAACTTTGCACCTCGACTTTGCAGTCATTTCGCTATCGTCTAATTATTGTCGCTGTCGTCGACGACGCCATCAACATTGTGTAGGGAATCACTCACTAAATTTCAGCTGTAGCGCCAAAGTCCGTCAGAAATAGTTTTGGTGTTGTGATGACCAAATTCTTATAACTTGTAGTAAAGTTAACTTAGAGCTAAATAAACTCAACTAGTATGACTTCGTTCTATTATTCAAATAACGGACATAAAATTTAATGTATGCAGAATATTGCTGAACGAATATATAATATTAGATCTTATAGAGAGGGAGTAACTGGGATCAATTATTAGTCCAAGACTCTGGTCTTTTTATACTATATACAATTAGATTTAGCCATGTCAGTCTTTGTTTTTTCCACAAATAAATGCACACTTGTCGGACCGACCGATGTCGGGCTATTATAGAATATAGCTGCCATACAAACTGATCGATTAATAACAGGTTTTTGTATCGGAAAAGTTTTTATTTGACGAGATATCTTCAAGACATTTGGATTATTGTCCAAGGCAACCATACAATTTCCGAATAAATCTCAATTAAGTTATAAATCACATTTTTTTATGCCATTATACTTGATTTATACAAATTGTTTGTTCGATTCACCACTGTCAGAACTTTGGCAGGCAACTGAAAACAAACTGAATGAACGAAATAGTTATATAACCCTAGTGTTGGTGGAGATATTTAATGTGTTAGCTCGACTACGAAATATTATGATTTTCATCATAACACTTATTTAACACTCAAAACCATAGTACCGTAGTTAAAACCTTTTTCTAGACCATACAACTGCGAATGATAATAGTCGAAAGTTGCGATACAACCCTTAATTTCCTAACTAAAGTAATTGAATCCAGGGGATCTCAAGATTTTTTGAAACAAGAGTACACCCAAGCGATATCGATTGTTTTTACTTATTTCATATATTCATAATCTGTTTTTTAAACATTGGTTTTGATACATTTGGCTAGTCAAAGACTCGACGGTTTCTTCTTTCGCTAGAAATCATATAATACATCAATTTAATAGATTGTTCACCGTTTACAGGATAAGTCTGAACTATTTACAGATATGATTACATCATACAAATCGTTTAACTCTCGTCTCTTGGGTTAGGACGACGGATTTATTGATAGCTTCAAAACACCTTATGCATATCTGCTTAACACTGGATGGGCAAATATTTTATTCTTGAGAATCTGTTCTAGTTCTTATATGGTATATTGGAAATCATCGGGCCATTGCAAGATGGCTTGCATTAAAGAAGTATATAAGCAATCGGGTTTTTAGCTCTTTAAGGTCATACAGGTTTTCGAAAGTTTAGTTAGTTGAAGAGAGTGCAGTGATTCGAAATCAGTGGCATTCTAGAACTCACCTCACGTTATGCTCCCTGATAATATGGAAAAAAGTTTTAAATACGCCAAGATATTGTATATCCCATCAACTCGGAACGTGACCATCGTTTGTTTTTCTACTATTACATACTGTAACTAGTTCATTTTATCACTTCATAGTTTTTTGTTAACAATGTGTTGAGTCGATCATAGCACAACAATATATACAGTACAAGTATGCGTCACTTGTGGAGTTCTACGTAGACATGTATATATGGATGTAAGTATGTATGTTAGCATTCGTCTATATGTGAAAATGTCCAGAGTCCAATTGCATATTTCGTAGCTTCGCTGCATTTGCTACTTGTAATACGAGTCAATATATTTGTGAGAGTATTTGATTTCATATTTTTTATTTATTTAAAACGTATGCACATAAATTTATTGGTTCGTTGTTGCTTGTTTTCACAAATGTTTATTTTAGATAACAATGTGTGTTCAGCGCCGATAAGAAGGGGTTAAAGTGCGATTTTTGCCTTACATAAAAATAAATCGAAAACAAATTTGGAATATTACGATTTTTGAGTGAAAATTAATTAAAATTTTCAATACATTTTTGGTTCGCCGGTAGATTGCTTGATGGGTTCTCAAGTACTGGTATGGGAGTACATATATCCAAAATATTCATAAGGATATTGGGTAGGACACATATGTTGGTCCAATTAGTGGTTTAACTCTTATCACCCCTTGTACTGGAAGGGTCAGCGAGATCGCGAACTTATCAAAATCGTTTAGTGAAAATTTCTCTACGTTTTTTTAATAGTTGTACTTTTCTTTCGTTCGACCTTGTAAATTATATTATATATCAAAAACCTGTGTAAAATTTCATTGAGGTCGGTTCAGCAGTTCGCGAGAAGTCTTGACAATCGACTTTGAAAATATACTTTCGAAGAAAACGCGATTAACTTTTCGTATACGATGACATACCTCAACGCTGAAAAAAATGTAATTTAATATTAAATTTTTGTACTGTTATTAATAAAAGTATTTTATAATGTTAAAATAAAATTTGTTTTACTTAAACCAATTCACTATTAGATATATAAATATATTTATTATTTTTCAACAATCATAAAAAACAATTTTGCGGATTTTAACCTTTTATTTTTTGAGTTATAACAGACCCCACCTAGTACAGCATGGTGAAATTAGTCACCTCGTATACGAAATGACTTTACTAGAATAAGTTGGCTTCTTCAAAGGTATGCTATGAATTATTTCATAATTTAAATGGCCAAGAGGTATAATGGTTTCGGTTGAATTGTGGCTTAACTGATTAATTTACGACTTCTTGGGTTCTTGAAATTGAAATTTTCTCTTTCAGTAACCTAGGTTCTTTTGCATTTGAAGAAGCACCAGATTTGCTATGATCTAAGTTAATCAATATTTGAATCATTTTAACGAAAATCCGTTTTATGGAAAGATTCGTAGCACAATTATGCATGTGAAGGAGAACATGTTAATGCACTGTTGCACTTTCAGTGCTAGTTTGTTCGATTCGCCACTTTCCAGTGCTTCGAGATTGAAAGACAGCTTATATAAAAATTTCACTAAATAAAAGAACGTGAAATTGTATTTAATAGACATTTAAAAAAGAAATATACATACTATATGCAATGTATGAAAATATAAAATTTAAATGGCAGCCACTTGTGGATGTTGGCCTGTATATAAGTATATAATAAGTATATGTGTATGTATTTATCATGTGGGGAATGTGTGTAGATATTTGATCGTTTCTTATCAATAAGTGTTTAAACGCTCATTAATAAAATTGATTGATAAACGAAAATATATTGAAATCGAAATAGCAACAACACGCATACATTGATATACATATATGTGTATTATATAAAAAATATATATGTATATACAAATATAAAGATATAAAGTGAGGTTGATAAACGGAAAAACAAATAAATATAAAATTCTTAAGTATTTCTTCAAGTAGTTTCAATGTATATGCATATACTCGTACATATGACTGTGTGGGTAAATATACTTGTAAGTGTGGGTATTTTTATATTTTCTGGACTTTGCCCGATGAGTGTTAGGATTACAACGCTTTCAAATTGAAAACAAAACTGAAAATAAAGACTTAATACTATCGAGCAATAAACTTACACTTACAAATGTTTATATAAGTATGAGTATGTACACATATATATCAACTTAAAAAGTTCCATAAAGATATAAGCATTGTGGGAAACAAAACATAATAAAGTATATATATATGTACATATGTAGTTATATTGAAAATAAGTAGTTTAGTGTTTCAATATAAAAGTGAAATAATAAGCATGGTAAATACAATACTTCACCATAAAGCAATATAACAGACAGAACAAATAATAGTAATAATAAGAATGTAAGCAATAATAAATATTAACATTACAGAATAACAAAGGCAAACGCTGGCGAAATCGATTACAAAAGCAGCAGCAACAAAGAATATAAACTTAAGGCGACATATACCTATATGTACCTAAAATTGTACTTAAGGGGTTAGGAGTAGTCGGAGGCACGAAAAAATGAGAATTTTAGGTAACTTTTTTTGGCTATTAAATCATGTTATTTTACAAAAATAGTAATATGGCATTATTATATAATGTTTTGACTTGAAGTCACGAAAAATCCAAAAAAAATTTTTTTAATTTCCAAAGTTATAGCTATCTAAGTTCACCAAGTTCCAAAAAAAAAGGTGGCAATCATAAGTCTTTGGAGATGCATCTAAAATCAATCGGGTGAAAAAAATTAGATAATCCTGGGTCTGATCGAAGCTCAAAAACTAACAAAATGGCGGCCTCAGGACATTTTTTTCTAGATTTTTGGGAAAAAATCAATTTTTGAAAAAACAAAAATCCTTCGATCAGGTCCGAGTTTATTATGTATTCTAAAAGCTGTATAAATTTCATTCAAATCTACTGAGCGGTTTTCGAGTTACAAACGCATTTAAAGTTTCTTGCAGCTGTCGCTGGCGAGTGCTCTTTGTTATTTGTCGAATAACTCAAAAAGTAATTATCGCATCAACTTGAAATTTTCAGAGAATTTTTTTAAGATATTACACTTAACGAAAATCCTGACTACCCCTAACCCCTTAAACTTATTTGTATGTAAATGCATATCTTATAGCATAAAAGGTTATAAAAATACTTGATTTTGATCGGTTAATTTGAACGACAGTTATATGCTATAGTAGTTAGATCGTGAAGGTAATTTGTATGTCATCTAGTATATGTTACAGTGATCCGATCTGAACACTTTGGTCGGAGATTATAGTCTGTGCCATATTTTGTGAATAACACATTGAATGGCAGCTACATGATATAGTGTTCCGATATGTGCGATTTCGACAAATTAGCAGATTCTTGCGGAGAAAAGAACGTGTGCAAAATTTCATAACGATATCTCAAAAACTGAGGGACTAGTTTCCATCACGCTGATAATTTATATACAAACATATGTATACGAGTATACTTTTGCTAAACTTCGTGGCAAATTTAATATACCCTATTCAGGGTAAAAAAGAAACTGATTAGTTTCATAAGTTGCAGTCATTGGTGTCATAACCGTGTTTAATAAAGTTGAAAAAGAGTGTGAGGGATCGTAGATGTCGCAAATTATTTACTGATGACTTTATAGCAGCTTATGCAATACCTATAGGGTGTGGTCATTGCTTTGTGATTGTTGATTAATTACCTTTAATCGAATATATGTTGGATCCGATATCAATGCTATCTTGTGGCTAAACACTTTGAGGCTTATTATTATAAGATTATTTTGGAAAGTCGCAACCGTTTTTTGTTTTGTTTTTGCAGCATCAAATGTTATCTAACTATTTTTGGGAAATGTTGTGGCAATATATAAGGCCACTTCTGTTCCGATTATAAATTAGAGTATTTATAATGCAGTTTTTTTGAATCTTACTTTCAGGCATGGCTTTAGAGCTGCGTGTATTTCCATTGCCATTATGTTAAGTTTTCGTTCTAGAGATGTGCCGATCATAAGAAATCTGCAACAAAAGGTCTGAATTTGAAAGAAGAATTGCATCACTACTAAGTGCCTCTGATATCCTACTTTTACAATGATCTCCAGTTGTGTTTTGCAAACAAATTTTAATATAATAGAATAAGGCTAGGAGGTGCTGCCTTGAGTCAGCTAAACATATACTTTTACCACTTGACTAATAAAATCTTGACATATATCACAATTTGGAGCAACAAGTTGGTTGGCAAATAAATAAGATTTTGCAAGGTTTACCCTCAACTATGCATAAATATAGCGATAATGTTTGCGTAACTTTGATATAACATTGTGATATAAAGCGAATAAGGTAAGTACTATTGCGAAATTGCCTTAATCATTGAGTATACCACAATTATACCAGAGTACAACATGTAAGACGTTCCTGCGCCTCCATTTTCAACCAAGTAAGAAAGTGAGTTTGAAAGAAAAGTGGATATATCTAAACACTACAACTCGAGTTTAAGACTTGCTTGTTTTCAAAAGTACCGAAAGTAAAACAAAGGAATCAAGGTTAAGTATTATTATTCTTATTACAACCGAAATTTTTAAACCTTAATTGCCAGCAACGAATTAATGTGAAAACTCCATATTTATTATACAATGCTTAAATGATTTCTTTATTCTGTTAAACTCTTGCCTAATAATTACTGTCACAACGGTAAATCGCAAAGTCAGCGCAAAAGGTTTTATAAATTTTTTGAGGTGATTAGCAAAAAAAACGCAAGTAATAAATTAATTAACTATAATAAAGTTATTGCAGTGTAGGAATAGATAAGCGTATGTCAAAAAATTTCTTCTAGTTACAAGTTCTGCTAATATATGGACGTATGGTTACCATGCGCGGGTGTATACATAGTTCATACCTCTATATACATATTCCATTAAAAATTTATATTAAGATTATGTATATTAGGCTGGAACTGTCATCATTAAAAAATTTTCGAAAACCATTCCCTATTCACTCAACTCGCTAATTATTAATAAGTCATTTAATCTAATGCCATGATCTGTTCCTTCGTTCTAGAAGTAAAAACTACAATAACTGCTAGACAAAATGTCTTAATTTTCTTCATTATGCAGTAATTATCTGAGTCTCTCAAGATTTAAGCTTTCCATCCAATAGGAATGGCTTTCAGCCCTCAACAGATAATTTTATGTAAAGATACTTTTTAAATAGTTAATTATTCTCTTGCAAATGATCTCAAATGTCTATTTTTAGATTGTATTGAGGATTTTGTATGGTTGGAAAGTAAGTATTTTAGGTAAAATCTTCAGTTGTCATCCAGGAGCATCATGCCTATTGTAACTTACTAAAATTGCGAGAGACATTAGATATCAAAAACGTAAGTATTTTAGGTAATATGGATGTCATCGAGGAACATCATGCCTTTATTTCACACAGATTTATATGTGAATGTTGAAAGCGTCAAAATTAAAAAATTGATGGGCTCTAGTCCTATTGGAACTCCTTAAGGTTCAGGGAGTAATCAAACTCTGTAACATCAGAACTTTCTTTATTAACCAATGATATAAGAAATTCCGTAATTAATGAGTAACCACGTTTGGGTTCAGATACCCACTTTAAGATCGACGTTAATTTAAGAATATTCTTTGGAAACAATTATTCTGTCGTAGTTTATTGAAGAAATCCGCTCTTTAAGATCCTCATATTTGCTTATCACAATTGCCGTTGCACCAATTGTTTTCTTTCTTTGTTTTATCGTCGCGTCATTGCAATGATCGTTGTTCCAATTCTGTGACATTCACAAGCAGGCAATACATTATCGCAGCAAATTCTTACAAATACATGTATATAATAAAATATATAATATACATTCTCATAAATTGTACAAGTATATGTTCGAAAAAAATCAAGTGCATTCAGTGTCGTTTACTGATAAGCGTTTGAGAGCTCCGCTTTGCTGATTAGAAACAATGCATTTAATTTCTTTCGATAGCAACAAATTTTAAGATGTACTAAAAATATATATATTACGTATACATATATATATACATATATATATGAATATCGGTAATGGCATACGCCGTGTGTACTTCAAAGTGTCAAATTTATTAGATCTATTTTCGTGTTGTTTTGTATTTACTTATAAAAGTAAATTGTGTTTCTACTTTTCGAGTGAACGCTCTTTTAGACTTTAAAATTATTAATGTGCTTTATACAGTAATGGTCATAACGCGTTTACCATTTTGATAAAAGACTAGAAAATATATATTATATATAATAAGTACCCTTCACAGAACTAGATTCCGATCGTTCAATTTGTAAAGCAGCTATATGCTATAGTGATCTGATCTGCCCAATTTCTTCGGAGATTTTTAGTGAAGATATCTAATCAAATGAAAAAGTTTGCCATACAAGCACTTGATTCCGATCGTTCAGTTTGTATGGCAGATATATGCTATAGTGATCTGATATCAGCGATTCCGACAACTGAGCAGCTTCTTGGGGGGGAAAGGATGTGTACTAATTTTTTAATCGATAATCCAAAAACTGAGGGACTAGTTCGCGTATATACAGACAGACGACACCTAAATCGTTATCCTCGTGAAGAGGTTGCACCGAAGTTAACGTTTTTTCTTATTTCAGCTAAGAACTATCAACTGTGCAATATTCCTGGATATTATTTAGGGGCGTTTGGGTATTTGGATTGAGGATCAACTCGGATTGGAGAAGTAATGTTCATTATATAATATTTTATAGATTTTGTATTCAATATTGTCAAAATATTGTAGCTAGCCGGCTGATTCTACTAGTTCTTAAGATGACAGAAAATGACCGATGATATTTATGATATGTACCCAAATCATACCGATTTTCTTATCGAGGATGTAGTTGCATATTTTTTCATATAAATACACCAGCGATTTTTTGAAACTAATATCAAGTAATGAATTATGAATCAGAATTCTGTTAATCTGCTGCTAAAGGACAGCTGGACTACGACAATGAGGTAGAATAGCTAAAAATTCAGATATTTATATGAATATATATAAAAGCTGAATTGAAAACCAATGGTACGATTTTTAATTTAAAATAGGTTTCTGCTTGTGTTTTTTTCCATCGTTACCGGAACCGTTCCCAATATCCAGTCATTCTCTCTGAAAAGATATGCGTGATTTTTTGAAAATTGAATATTTATTATAATGTTGAAATTTCACGGTGACCTCTGAGAGAACTTAGATATGTATATTTTATTTGACAGATGAAAACATATTTTTGAAAAGGATATTGCTGTAAAAATTTGCGTGAATATCCAAGATTTCGTACAAAACAACCTGTTACAAATAACTACCTTCTTATTCGTTTGGATTTCACAAGTTTTTAAAAAGAGGCCTTACAAGTATATACGAGAAAATATCTTCTATTGTCGAATGAATACTTTGGTGTTACGCCGTTGACCGTCCTGACTTCCAAATGACTATCAATTTTGTCTATAAGCCATCATAAATATATCATCAATAACAGCCTTGAAATTCAACGTCGACCAACAACCCAACAAAAAAAAAACTTTGTGTGAGGCGTAAATAACCGTATAACAAAATATTTCTTTAATTACGTTTGTGCCATTGCACGGTTAAACAAGGAGGAGTTATTGAATTATAATAAATCATTTTGAGCTGAAGTATTATTTTTGGCATTTATTGCAAGGAATCTTATCTTATATTCAAGTATGTATCATAAAAAAATGATTCAAGATAATCGCAGTAATATATGTATAAGGCTATCAATAGTTGCGATTTTTGGAGTATTAAATGTAATTTATGTGGTCCCATGCAATAACCTTATTAGCTCAAGTAAGAAAGCTTGATTAAATGAATATGAAAAATTGTTAAAGGGATATAAGTAGGTCGAAGGATACATGAGATGATTCAAACTTTTAGGTAGTGACCCATAATATTGTCACAATAATCGAAAAATCTTCTTCATAAGATATATAATCCATTCGACAATTTCTTCACGAATTGGCCATCCTGAAAGCTTCGTTGTTATCTCAAACAACGCAATGTTCCCATGTACACGTAATCTCGGGAATAGGTTGTGGCTTGAGTTTATATCCCAGTGCTAGTTCCGTACGTTTAAGGCTTCTTATTAAAATACAGGGAATAAGGATAAGGAAGAATTATGATTCTGACTTTCTGTGCGAGGTATTAATAGAACTTTACCTTGGACCTTCGGAATTATTTTCAAAAAACTATAAGTAAAACGATTTTCGGACGTCGCCTAATTCAAAGGTGTCTAGCTGTATATTAATTGCTTAATTGACCTTTATTTATGCTTAACTGCACTGTAAAAGCTTCAGCTCTGCAACTCAGTAGCCACACCACGTATACTGCGATCATTTTAATTGAGAGGAAATCGGATTTTGTAACGATTGAAAACCTCGAACAACAACTTTTCACTAGATGTTTTTTTTAATATAATAGCACAATCGGGTGTTTGTACCAATACTGAGCTTTAAAACCAGCTCTGATCAAAAAGCTCAGCTTAAAGCTTTGCGAAAATGAGTGCGAGCATACTAAGCCAATATCAAAAAAGCTCTGGTATAAGCTTTAATTTGTCTAACTTTTGTGCTAAGTTTTATGTGCTCAAATAAGTTGATCACATAAAACTCAAGCTCAACCAACTAAAAGCTCCCAACCTGAGCGTAGTTTGAGTAACAAGTTGAGCTTAATTGCTCGTGTGTTGTGCGCTCAACAACTTCAAGCGATGGTGGCAAACTGCCAGAAGGAGCACAGACGCAACACAAAAAGCAATAACGCGGAACATTCCGCCCCACATGAAGCTGTGCCGCCACACTCTTTAGTACGCACCTTTCCACCATTATATTTGAGTTTTCTCACCAAGTGAGTAAATACTAGTTACTCGCGTACAACAGACGCGAAGACAACAAATCGCACAATCAATGGACGCAAAGCGATTAAACCGCTTGAGATTAGTGGCAAACTAAATAAAATACCTGTTGAAATTAAAAAACTAATAATAAAGTTATCGCTTGTGACGGCGATTAAAGCATTTTAAGTCGACAACAGATAGTGTTTGGCGGTCAGTGTTAATTGGCAAAGACGACGGTACACAAGCAATTACAAGCGGAATTGTGCAAAGTAAGTGAGAAAACTCAAAAAGAGAAGAGTTTCGATTTACAAAGTACAAATTTTCATGACTACCTGTATACACAAAATCGACGTAATAAAGTTTAGTGTGAAAAAAGAAGTGAGAAAAAGTGAAGAGTTTAACGACGAGAAAGCATTTTTGAGCAGAAAAAAAGTTGGTTTTTGAGCTGGGTGAAGGTGGCGCAAAGACAGAAGAGCAATAGCAAACAATTAAAATCAATTAACGGTGAGTAAAGTGAATGGCCAACTGCAAACTATAAGATTTTATGCAAAAAAAAAATTTGTGAGAATATACTCTTATTTTCATACATACAAGTATATGAGGCAGAAATTTTTTTAAATAATTAAAAGAAATATTCAATATTTCTTATAATTAAAAGATTATACCAAAATACTTCAAACTAGTTATAGATATTGCATCTATGTAAAAACCATCACAATTGAACATATTTGTACAACAGAAAACTAAAATATGCAAAAAACCGAAGGCGCATGCGCAACAGTTGCGGCTAACACAAAGCTTAACATAGTGGTTTATAATAAAAATAAAAAAAAAAACAAATAAGAAAAAATATTTTAAATAACAATTGTTGTGATTGTTTATATCAACGAAATTGTTGAAATATGCTTAACGCGAGCAGCAATAATAATAACAAAGTTACTGCTATCGCAATGTGTAGTACAATTTCGGAGCGCATGAAAATGTAAGGCACAAATAGACAAAAATTCGACTCTTTCAATTATACACGTGCGTACTTGTACACAATTTTACGTTCCACCTATTTTCGGTTAACTCCATTTTGCTATGTGAGAGCTTAAGTATACATATGACATGTGTATACACATAGCTAAACATTTTATTATAAGATGGTACGTGTAATCTACTTATATACATATGTATATATGATATATACATGCATATCCTAAAGTTGCGGTTACATGCACTTAAGCACACATATATATATATATATATATGTAAGTACATGTGAGGGCACACATGACTTCACACAGTTCAATCGCTGATTGTTCGCCAAGTCAACGTCAGTCCGAAGATGACTCAAACCGCTATGCAAATTGCAAATAAGATTTATTGGCTTACTTATTACTTATATGTATGTATGTTTATGTTAAGTTAAAGAACTACATACATAGATATTTACTTAATGGTATTTTCTTCAATAATAATTCGCAGAAAATTTTTATTTAATAAAAAAATTCAAACGAGCAAACGGTGGTCGTGACTTCTTGTCCTAGAATGCTATGGAGTTTAAAGAAAAACTTTTTTTCTTCTACTATACTTCTTACATATATGGTTCGTTTAATTTTTTCTGCAACTTGTATCAATCAAAGTCACAAAAAGTCCAGCCTTTCTTATGACCAAGGCTTCGGATTTTATTACTTGTTGTGTGCCTAACGAAAACACTAGAAATCCTCAGAACTGACAGGATTTACATTTGTGCGCTGAGCACTTTAGCAAATATTCCTTATCTGTGAAAATTTGATGCTAATATGTTTTACATATAAAAAACTGTAAGCTTCAAGGATTGATCATACTGTCAAAAAAAAGTCCATAATGATTTTCCGAAAAATAACTTTAGTCACTTGGTTTCGAATCTCGAGAGAGCAAATATTTGCTTCACCTTATAGTAAAATAATGGTAAACTGTTTCAAAACTAAACTGTCCAAAAGTTCCGAAGATTGACGTATAATTCAAATTTTTGTCCACAGAGCGTGGAACTCTGGACTTTCCTGGATCATTACAGATGCTTATTGAGAGATTTAGAAAGAACTATTCTTTTATAGAAAGTAGAGACAATAAGTGTTTTGTTGTATATTTCTACCAGAGCGGAACTTGTTCACAGTATACTTTCTACTAACATACGGGGAAAAAGTTACGTGACGGAAATTACCATTTAACGAAACATCCTTATTTAATTTGTTCTTTAAAATTAGACCTATATACAACGATTATTTTTTAAATTTACCGAGAGTAAATTAAGTTTGTTAAGACCTCCGTTGTTAGGTTCACAACTGTGGTATTAATATTGCTTTTCTTTGCTACTTAATTTGTCTAATTTCAACGGATTGACAAATTCTTTATTTTATAAAGTAATTATATTATAATTACTGACCAAAATACACAATTTTACCCTATTTATTAAAGCTTTTTCCCAAGTCATGGAATTTCAGATATCCTTCCCACAGCTCTCACGCTCCCTCTTTTAGCAACTATCTAAGAATAATTGCGAGTGGATTTAACCCCAGTAACATTTTAAGCATCTATAGCCATGGAAATGTAGTCAAATACTGAGAAGTCATGGTTTTGCTCGTTGGATTTCAAGTTTAATAAAGCTGAAAGAGGCCTTTAAGCCTCCTGTATTAGATCTAGCACAGTTCTAAATCAAACTTTGTAATATTGATGCTGAGTAAAGAGAATAGCAAAAACTAATAGACTAACAAATCAAAAGCGAAACGAGCTTTTTGTGTGCCTATATATATTTTTAATTAACCTAAGGCTACAATGTATATATGTACAAGTATGTATAAATGCGAATATAACGCTTTAAAAAAACTGCCTACCTGGTATTGGCAAATATACCGTTCAAACTTGTTGGCCACTTAATTGAATAACAAATTGACAAAATTACATGTTTTCAACTAAAGATTTATACTAGTATAACCACTTGGCCTTGTGTGTGGCGTCGTGTTGCCAAAATCGACTGACAACTGTGAATAAGAAGTAAACTCAAATGAAATGAAGTCTTTGTGGAAAACAAGTTTCATTTGAATTTATTTTTGCGAAAAGTGGGTCAAATCATGGACGTACTAAATATGGTGAGCGCCACGAAACACCAACTAGATTTGTAGACAAGAAATTGAATGTGGTTGTTGAAGAATAGGCTTAAAGACTAAAATGTAGTATTTACATGATTTTGTAAGCTCGTTAGTACCAAGAGTTAACGATATGAAAGCTGATGTCTGACCAAATGATAGCGATTATGGTTGCTTGGACGAATAGATGCCGTCTACAACACCTTAAGTCCCAAATATTGCAAATTAAAAAAAAAATTTTTGAACGTCATCTCTCTGCGAATGAAAATTGACATCTACATAAAACGCATTAGTTCTGTCCCTCTCGTATTTGTCGATTTGTAGGTAAAAATTGCTCAAAATTCATAATCATAAATAACGTGTTATTTTGTCTAAGAAGCACTAGCGATTGAGAACAGAATGTATTCATAAACGAAAGAGAGTAATTTGAAAAGTAAAGCTTAAAATTGAGTAAGTCACAATAATTATCAAAAAGATATATTCTAGTATAAAAAAGCTTCTTAAAGTTCAAATCTTAAGGCTGGACACGAATTAGTGGCTACTGTCAAAATTATAAAAAATTAGTTCTAATAACGATTTTTATTGGAACTTTTCCAATAAGAAATCTTTCGACCATATTGAGTGTTAAGCAACGAACCGTTTTTAGAATTAAATTTAAAACTTTGAACAAAATTTCCATACTTTTTTTGATACCCTGTAACATTTTTCGCTTGTTTTGATATTCCAATATAAAATCTTTGAACCATATACACCTGCAACTAATTTCAGCAGTGAGGAAGCAAATATTTTTTGACCAAATTTAAAAGTGTGGAAAAGTTTTCCACATTTCTTTTTATCATCCTGTAAAATATTGCACTGTAATTCATTGCATTTTTTATTGGAAAACTGGCACCAAATTTCTTCTTTAATGCTTAATGGTATAAAATTCGTTATGGCATAACATTTATTAGTAATCTCTGGCACGATTCACTATAAAAACAAGCTTACTGATCTTTTCGGGAAAGAAATCAAGAGGGGGAAGAAATACAAGAAACTCGACAGCAGAACAATAAATTACTCATTCCTTTACCAAAATTTCAAATTTGGAACTTTTTCAACAACTTTTTGGTCACCCTGTATTTTATTGCTTTTTGGAAAGCTGGCACCAAATTCCTTCTTTAATGCTTAATGGTATAAAATTCATTATGGCAAAGCATTTATTAGTGATTTCTGGTATAATTCACTACAAAAGCAAGGCAGATAAATTAAATGCACAAATATGTTATTGTAATAAACAACGAAATTGGTATTAAACCGCTTATGTAACTCAATATACCCAGTAATTTAAATTTTAAAACATATGTAAAGGTAGTATACAATTATAAAAAAAGAACAACAAACACATTTGCTATAAAAGTAATACTTATTAAATAACACCACCTTACAACAACTAACGGCAACACGTGAAATGCCGGTACCCGAAATTCGTGAACTTAATCATACCATGCAATATCCAATTAAAAAGTGATAATTAGCTGACCGACAACTATATTTAACAGTGTGCTTTAGGCATGACCTATCTTATTGAGAAGGTTTGTGGAATGGGTAAATAATGGCTGCTGCCAGACTTTCCGTTTCCTTACGTGATATGGAAGTAGCTTATCAATTGTATGCGTAGTTTAGTGAAAACGCAATTAAAATAATAATAATAATAATAAGCTGTCATAACACATTTACATATTATGTAATACCACTAAATAAATTTACACACTTAAGCTTAGTAGTTATAGTAGTTTGGTCAATGGAAATGGCGCTTACCTTGAGCTGCGGGTCATCAGCAGAGGTTTTAGCGTAGTTTTTTTTTATGATTTTCTTAGCACACCTGCAATAAACAAAAATACATATGTACATATGAGTCTGTATTGTATGTTAAATTGTTATGTAATTGCACATAAAAATCTTGCTAGTATTATATATATATCTTTAAATGAGTACCAAGTCCGCAGTTAAACCAGATTTAATTTACCACACACGTTTTCTTATGAAAATCTTTAGACGTTTGTATGAGTTGTTATGGAGCACTAAGAAAAGAGTACATATAATATACCGTACCATACATTAGGAGGTTTGATAAAAAAAAAAATATATATATATAAATGTATTTATATATTTTATATGCTCTTAAAGATTTATATATATTTATTAGAGCTTATTTTACCTTCTTTATATGTAAACAATTCGCTTCTCTTCAGGCTGGATACTTAGTGGACACTGCGACACATCGTGCAGAGCAAATAAACATAGTTTAAAAAACTAAAAAACATGTCTTTAAAGCACTTCATATTAAAAAGTGAAAAATATTTCTTAACATAAACTGACAGTAAAATTTACAAGAATACTTGTATTATGAAAAATATGACACAAAGGAGTTATAGTCTCAATTGAAATTTGATGGACAAATACTAAGGGACAACAGCTTTCTAATTTTGTTTAATAATTATAAAATTTTAACAGCCTTTTTTAATGAAAACAAGTTTTGTATATGAAGAAAAAATTTAGATAAACACGCGCTGCTATTATTTTCTCAATACACTTTGCATTTGCTCTTCGCTATTCTGTGTGCTTAATCTTACTAAGTGCACCTTTTGCAATAACAAGAGCCTTGAGAAACCAATTGCCATCTCAAGATTTCAAAGTGCTGGAATCAATAGTTGCAAGAAAGAATCTGGAAATACGAGTTTTTTTAATTCTTGAATTATATCGGGTGGGGTAACCTTGAAGAAATTATCTGTCCATGCTTCGTATTCTTTTTTTTAATGTTACTGTTCACTAGTAAAACATAGTTTTATCCAGGAATTGGTTCAGGAAAACGTATTCAAATTTGCCAAAGAACTTCAATGTACCATAATACTTGTTAATTTTTGAGTTTTTCATGCTATAAATCCGACTAAGTGGTATTGCTCAACTACAATTATAATATATTTAATGCTTTTCATATCTCAGCTCTCAGATCTCAACAACAAAGCATAATAAGAGTTACTACTTGCTCTCTGTCGACGAACTTAAGGACATCATCATTTGCTGTATCTCTCACTGTAGCATAAGGCTTCAAGCTTAAGGACATATCTTCATCTCTTGGGATCAAAAATATATTAAATGACTAAAAACAAAACCCCTAAAGTAGCTCAGTTATACCTCCATACTCGTACATGAGTTTAGATCTGGTTAAATGTAGATATTTGGAGCTTATTGAAAAATTTAACGAAAACTATTCCACAAAGCAAGGTTGAAGTTAGGTTAAATGGAGAACAGAGGAAGCGGTTAGTTGATAGCAGTAATTGATGATAAAGGTAGGATTTGAATTACTGTATTTATGGTAATAGCTTTGGTTATGTGAACGCTATTCAATCAAAAAAAAGTTAAAGTCATAAAATACACAACTTAGGAACAACAATTAGAATTGTACTGTAGTTTATTCGGAATGAGTTAACAATTGGGTAGTTATTTTATTCCTTATAATAAATGTTGACCCTTATATTCCGTTAATTTTCCATGATATTTTTTATAATTAGTTTTTAATTAAAATTCTTAATATTCGCTTCGTTTGATGGTTGAAAATTAATTTATTTACTTATGAGTATATTTGTAAACAATAATTATACAATTTTTTATTTTACATTTTATTTCTTTTTATTTGTTGCAGTATTGTGTATTCCACATTGCAATCGGTCAAATAACTATCGAACTTTGATTTAGTAATTACATGCACGCGAATTCGATAACTGACCTAAAACTATCATAAAAATTATTAGAAATTGTCATATATAGGTATGTACATGCAAAAGATAAATGCTTTCGTGATCACTGTAGTAAAAACTATAAACAATTTTATTGGAAATTTATGATATTGAAAAGATATCTAAAATGAATTGAGAATAATTTAGACTTTAGTTGCGGAACCATGTAAGCGATTGATTTTACATTTGCGGTCGAAGATTATCTTTATTTATTAAGAAATTTTAAACAAAAACAATATATAATATAATATTTTATGATATAAAACAAGAAAAAAATCTTTATCTTAATTTTGATCGGTCAATTTGTATGGCAGCTATATGCTATAATGGTTCGATCTAAACAATATGTTCGGAGATTGTAGTATTGTCTTGGAAAATATGCCAAATGCTATAGTGATCGGATATCATTCCGACAAGTGAGCAGCTTCTTGAGGAGAAAAAGTATGCAAAATTTCAGGCTGATGTCTCAAAAACTAACAGACTAGTTACTAGACTAGACTAGACTATACAGACATAGCTAAATCGATTCAGCTCGTCACGCTGTTCATTTATACACATACATATTTGTATGTATACTTTATAGGGCCGCCGACGTTTCCTTTTGGGTTTCAAACTTAGTGGCAAATTTAATATATCCTGTTTAGGACATACAAAAGCATAGCTAAGCATAGCAAACAAAAGACTTAAGCGACAAACCTGATTACAAATTTTTTTTTTTAATTTTGAAAAAAGTTCTAATTTTGTCGAATTCTTTCATTTCATTTTGTACGAAATTTTTTTAAAAGCAAATATACTAATATTTTCTTCGAATATTTTTTTTAAGTGATATTTTTAAAGTTAATAATGCATTGAGTTCATTACATTAATTAACTACTAAATCATATTTTTATTTACAGTTAAAACATATTTTTACTTAATATAGTTGACATGCACACATACATACCTATATAGGTTTGACTTCATACAACTTAAATTTGAAACTGAAATTAAGCCAAACAAAGAAGCACTCTCTTTCTACATAACTTTTTTCTTTCTTATCGACAAAAAAAATGAAATCATATCTCCAAGGTCATTTCATTAATAACAGAAAATATTTTTGCTTATTTCAACAATTTTAAGCTTAAACAGAAAAAAGGAAAACACCAGTAAGCATCAGAAAAAGAAGAAAAGAAAAAAATTCTGTTGCCGCATTTTGCTTATTCAGTAAGGTCAGCAAAAATAGTTTTTCTGTGAAATCAGTTCATTTCATTTACTCGTCACGGTCATTTTTTTGACCACAAGCACGAAAATATTTATATTTATTTTGTACCCATTAATGTATAAGCAAATATATGTAAGTACATACGTTTGAATCGGCCTTTGTACTTGATCATCATTTTGTGCTGCTTTTGTAACAGGTGTCTGATCTAGGCTATACAAGTCATGATGTACTTCAAATTTTCGATTTTCTTTTTTAAAAATTAACACCTTTTTAGGTGACATTGATTTTGTGGAAACTTACGAGAACCACTGACAGACTAAGCGGAAAAGCAATTTTATAACAAACGCTGCAGATAAAGAACTGCTTTGTTGCGCGAAGTTTAGCTGATTAATTGTACTCACCTTGATGGCGCTTAAAGATTGATGTTTCTAGAAACGCGAATTAAATAAAGAGTAAATGCAGTAAACAATCATTGGTGTTGGTTTATTTTTAAGGTTATTGTTAAGGTTTACAAATTTTTGCCAGCATATTAGGGTGGTAGAATTTAAATGATGCAACTTTGTTTCAAAAGAGTATTGCAATCAACCCATAATAATTCTACAAGCTGAGGTGAAGTGGTACCACACATAAAAAATAAAAGCAAAGGGTATACATACAAGTATATACCTAAATGATCAGCGTGACGAGCTCAGCCATGTCAGTCTATCTATCTGTCTGTATATACGCCACCAATCTGCAATTTTGCAAACGTCCTTTTTTACACAAGAAGCTGTTCATTTGTCGGACAGAATCGCAGAGTTCGGAATACTATAGCACATAGCTGTCATACCAACTAATCGATCAAAATCAAGTTAAAACTCTTTTTATACCATTTTGTGCTATACTTGTGAAGGATATTATAGCTTCAGTGCAGCCGAAGTTAACGCTTTTTTATTGGTTTTTGTTTTTATCTATTTTAGGTTCTCTTTTTTAATACATTCTATTAATTTTGTGACGTAAACTCGAGTCTAAAGTGTGCTGTTATAAATATCTGTCTGTTAGTTTTAAGAAATGTTTATGTGATTAACTCCGAGTTTGTGTAGAGTGTTTAATGTTAAACACCAAAATAGCCAATAAACTCGAGTTTAAAGTTAACACCATGAATATAATGAATATAATGTAACCTGCTGCCTGTTAATGAAAAATTTTGAATAAGAAGAGTTCTAGGAAAGTTGCTATGGTGTATTTATTGGCAGAAATGATTTAGTGACCACCCTTTCAAATAAGTGTAAAGTCCATTTTAATAAGTTCCGGCAAAAAATTCGGTTAACTGAGTTTTAAATCTAACAAGTTCAAGTTAAATTCAAGTTATTTCAACAAAAAAAAAATAATTGTTATTTGCATAAAAAAAACACTTAATTTTATTAGCACATTTAATTGCATTTTACTTTTATCAGAAGTTAGCACTTGAAATGTAACACTTATGTATGTATATGTGTACATATGCACATTGGTATGTTATATATGTACATATATATGAACCAATATTTTAGAAATTAACTTTGTCACCTATTTGTTTACCGCTTGATAAATTATTTGCCTCGATTTCGAATTTCGAAATTGTCTCTTGAGCAACTAATTAATTTTTTGTATATACGTACATAGAGAAATATGTATAGTATACGCATGTAATAATTGTATATAGTATATATATAACGTGTCTTAATTTTTATTACTCTTCACCTTATATTTATTGCTGTCAACTTCTTTCCTTCATTACTGCTTTGTCGACCTTGACTTTTACCTTTAAAAATCAAAAGTCATCTAACTCATGTCAGAAGCAACTCAATCAACAAAAAACGAACAAATTAATGGATAACAACAACAATAAAGCACAGTACACAT